CCCTGTGAGTTTTGTGACCCCCCCCCCAGGACTGGGCTGGGGTCCAGAATCATTGTGAATGGGAAAAAACATGGATGCGAAAGCCGTCTCTTGGGGTCTGAACTGCAGTGGCGGGAGGTGGTGTCGGAAGGGGGGCAGACTTTTCCCCCTCTCCCTGTCCTGGAAGTCAGGATCACTCAGTGAAATGGGATGGCCGGCATTGAAAGACCCTGCCGTCTCTCTGAGCGCCTCTCCCCCAAAACGCCCGTCCCACCTCCGGGATCTCATAAACTGGGATGCTGAGGGTGGTGGTGACCCCAAGAGAGGGAGGCTCAGGAATCTGCCGCCCTGAAGCCAGGCCTTTTTTTGCTGTGCCTGCAGGACTCTGGAACTCCCTCCCACCAGAGTTCTGATGAACCCAATGGGAGACAAGTTAAAACCTGGCTTTTCTCACGAGCCTTTTATGGCCTAACCCCGGAGGAATCTCACTTGAATGGCCAGCGTTTTTCTTCGTGCTTATAAACTTAGCCTGGTTTTCCCGCCTAACCCTCCCATGCTCAAGATTTATCACTATTTTATAGCTATTATTCTTTAACACTTGCTTTATGTTTAGACCTTATGTTTCCTGTTGTTCGGGTGAATTCTCTGCTGGGTCTGTTGCGCAATTTGTGTCATTGTGTTATCTTTGCCTGCCCAGGGAGTGGCTCTGCCACAAGTTGGGCAGTAATAAAAAAATAAAGTAATAATAGTAGTAATAAATTCACAGTAACAAGTAATAATAAAATATTAATTATTGTAATTATTATTAATAAAATATTGGTTGGTTGGTTGGTTGGTTGGTTGGTTGGTTGGTTGGTTGGTTGGTTGGTTGGTTGGTTGGTTGGTTGAGTGATTGACTGACTGACTGACTGATTGGTTTATTGATTGCTTGCTTGCTTGCTTGCTTGCTTGCTTGCTTGCTTGCTTGCTTGCTTGCTTGCTTGCTTGCTTGCTTGCTTGCTTGCTTGCTTGCTTGCTTGCTTGCTTGCTTGCTTGCTTGCTTGCTTGCTTGCTTGCTTGCTTGCTTGCTTGCTTGCTTGCTTGCTTGCTTGCTTGCTTGCTTGCTTGCTTGCTTGCTTGCTTGCTTGCTTGCTTGCTTGCTTGATTGATTGACTGACTGACTGACTGACTGACTGACTGGTTGATCAATTGATTAGGTAAGTAAGTAATGATGGAGAAGGAGTCTTTGGCCTTTCCACTTTGGAGGCAGGGAGGGGGTTCCCAGAGCTAGCACCTTCCTAAGCCATGTCCCCCCCCACCTCCTCTCCCATTGCCCTCTCTCGGCAAGGCTGCCCTGACCTCTGCAGAGGACGGCGGCTCCGTACCTTAAGGTCGAGATGCAGAACCCGCATTTGGTGCATAAAAAGGATGCCGTCGCAGATCTGCCGCACAAACACCATGCAGTCCACCTCCGTTAGCTGGTAATCCTCGTCAATGATCCTCTCAAACAGTTCCCCACCTGGAACACTGGGCGCAGGAAAAGGGGTGTGTGGGAGGGAGGGGATTTCATGTGACCCCTGGGCATCACTGCCCTTTGAGGTTGAGCAAGCTGAAAACCCAAGCTTGAGAGAGTCCTTTTTTGGACTGCAACTCCCAGAATACTCTGAGAGAAGTAATCCAAAAAAAGAGAGAGGAACTTTTCCAAGCTCTGATTAAAACTCCCTTTGCTTCTCTTGCAACGTCATTCCCCTTCCCAACTCTTTGGCTTTTCCTCTCTGCCTTCCCCCCCTTCTTGTTCACTGGCGAGATGCCTCAGTCCATCGCCAGCCCTCAGCCCTGGGTTCGTCGAGTGCTCCCTTTCTAGGGAATTTAAGGCAGCACGCACAAGGTTCTCCCGGCTGCCTTCAGAGCAACCCTGTGAAGTTGGTTAGGCTGATAAAAGAAGGTGGCTGGCCCAAGACCCTTGGGGGAGCTGCAACTTAAATTATCGCAGGAGGAGAAATAATCTACTATATACAACATCGGCTCTCACACTGACGGGACAAACCTTTGTAATGTTCAGATTATTTTTAATGTTGACTGGCTTTTAATTATTCAATGGTATTTTGACTAGCATACAGTTTAATTGCTTTTTTTTTGTTTCTAATTGATAATGTTTTAAATTCTATTCTTTTTTTAATATTGTGAACCAAGGCCTTGGGGTCCCCTTCTCGGGAGAAAGGTGGCCCAGAAATGAAACAAGCACACAATTAGCCCTCCTTATTCAAACTCATCTGTGCAACTCGTGCTGTTTAACCAAGGGACCCAGATTTATATTCAACAGCTCTCCAAAAAGCCTCAGATCCACACACATCCCTGCAGCACCACCCAAAGGGTTGAAAAGGCTGGCCAGGGTCTTTTCAACCCTGTCTCTGCACTGCTGAGGACTAGAAGCATGGCCTTTCCAAAACAGGACACAGATGAGATTTTCCCCCCCTCCCCAATTCTGCCAGGCGCTGAGTCTTGAGCTGGGGACCCTCCCCCTTGCAACGCCTGCACCAGCCCCAGGGACTTACAATTCCATGAACAGCATCAGCTCTCTTGGGGTCTCGATGGCGTCATATAACTGGATGAGGTTCCTGTGGTTGAGCTGATTCATCACGTCGATTTCCACCTCAGCCATTGCCTGCAAGAGAAAGGCCAGCAAGGTCACACAGAGCGGAACCTGGCGAAGGGTTAGGTGGGAGCAAGATACAGTACAAGAAAACCAGGTTCGGAAAACGGGCAGGTGAGCCGAGGCAGCCGTGAGACCAGAGGAACCCAGGCGGATGCCCAAATTGCTTAAGCAAAAGGTGTGGGGGGGCATCTTCCTTTCAGCCTTAGGTGACTATGCTGGCTTGGGGGGGGGTTGAAAGAGGGCACCCCCAAAAGTAACTCTTCTGCAAGCTCTGTAATATCCCGTTTAAAACATGAAGGCCCCCTTGCAGCAGAAGGGAATGTGCTTTCTTGCTTCAGCAGACAGAAAATGCTTTCTCTCTCTCTCTCTCTCTTAGGTCTTGAACAGGATTTTAAAGAGCTTGCAGGAATGGGAGGTGGGTTGTTGTTGGTACAGGCTGCAAAATGTTATGACCTATGGTGAACACTGCAAATTCATGGCCCCCAAAAGGTCCTATCGTTAATCCCCCAGTTTCCTTTATTGAGTCAGTCCATCTCCTATTCAACTCTCCTCTTTTCCTAGATTCTCCCACCACTACTGTTTTTCTTCAAGTGAGTCGGATCTTCTCACAACGTGCCCAAAGTATCAACTCTCCTCTTTTCCTACCGCCTCCAGATTCTCCCACCACTACTGTTTTGCTTCGTCGGATCTTCTCACAACGTGCCCAAAGTATGGCAGGCTCAGCTTTCTCGTTTTGGCTTGTAGTTGAGAATGCTGTACTGGCCTCATGTGGTCTAGAACCCGTTTATTTATCTTTGGAGTTGTCCATGGTGCCCATGAATGTCTCCTCCAACGCCACTCTTCAAGACTCCCAAAATGGGCAGCTTCTGGGTGGTGGCAGTCATGGAAGGGGGTGACACGGATTGAGCATCTTTCGCACACAATGACAGCAGCTCTCAAACTCACTTGGCTTCAGTACAGTGCAGAAGAAGCAACGGCAAATCATGTCTTGACATTTTATACCTTGAAAACCGTATGGCTTCAGGGCACCAATAATGGCGACAATGATGTGCCAAAGAGGTGATCTGCAGTTCCCAAAACCTCCTGCCAGCACCACCTGATCATCATGAAACAACAGCCTCTCTGGATGTGGTTCACATCTTGGAAAATTTCCCTCCCTGGAGATTAAACTGGGATTGGGACCTTACTCGACATTCCACTCTTGCCTCTTGCGTCCTTGCGGAGCGTGGCAAAAAGCTGGGGGATTCTGGGAGTTGTATTCTGAACCCTAACTTTTCTCAACTTTGCTTAGGGCTCAGGAAGTGACGGGAGAGGGGCACAGGGCGCTAGACGTCCAGGTTAGCTCGCTGATTCGAAGAGCATTCAGCAAACCCTTCGAACGGCCTGGCCTAAGAACTGGCACGAAGCAAGACCTGGCAAAGGAGACACACCCACAGAACCACACAGATATGGTCCTGGGATCACCCACCCTCGTACGCATGGGATCCCCGCCACCCGAGAGCATACCGTGTCCTTTGGCCCCTGCTTCTTAATAATTTTCACGGCAAGCTGGAGGCCGGTCTCCTTCACGGTGCACGTGCGAACTTCCCCAAACTTCCCCCTGCAATGATAAAGAGAGGAAGGCAACGCCGCTCCTGAGAAGCATCTTCAGACTTCCATTGAAGACCCGACGAGACGTTCACTACTGCTACCATCAGGCCTTTTGCCTCAACGCCATCGGGACCCGCCTGATCCATGAGAACCGAGTTCTAAGGATTCCGGCTGTCTCGGTCCGTATCCGTCCGTTCCACTCCGACTCCCATAATTTCCACTGCCTGATTTTAGACCCCGGTGTGGGGCGAGAGATGCTTTTTGCCTCTTACCATTGAAGGGACTGTCGAGAATTCGATTTCAGAGTCGTTCTGGGGATGGGGCATTTCACAAGGAACGACACCAAAAGGAACAACAGAAATTCAGCTTCAGCTTCTTACGGCCCTAGACGATTTGGGACCTCAGAACATGGCAGGACACCTCCTTCCAAGTGGGAATTGCCTGTCAAGCAGGCTGGACGGTTGAGGGCACCAACCCGGAAGGAGGGCCAGGAGGAGAGAAGAAGGAGCCAGGCTTTCTCGGCTTTGGAAAGAGCCACCATCGGAAATTCGCCCGGCCCTCTCTCTGGGACCTTTAAGAAATCTCTTAAACTTCCTTCTTTCAGCAGGCTTTCAAAAACAATCCAACTTGAATAGCTGCTGAGAGGAGGCGCTTTTCGATTGCTGCCTGTTTTAAAACGCAATGTCCACTTAATTTTAACTGCACTTTTAATTATGTTTCCGTTAGGTTACGATCACTCTTGTGCGCCGTCCAGAGTGATCATCAGTCAGATGGGCAGTATAAAACGTGAACCAACCAACGAACGGATAGATGGAAGGCTATACAACTTGGTAGGTTACGATCACTCTTGTGTGCCATCCAGAGTGATCATCAGTCACATGGGCAGTATAAAACGTGAACCAACAAACGAACGGATAGATGGATGGCTATACAACTTGGCCTTTTCAAATTGGGGGGTGGGTTGAGAGATGAGGACAGACTCAGGACCTCCACCAACCCAAATGATGGTATCAAGGAGCAGGGGGTTATGGCCATCTGGAGAATCACCAGGGAGGTCTGGCATTGGACCCGGGACCCACCTTCCCCCTTCTTGGGACACACCGGTGACACAGACATATCAGGACTGCTGCTACCAAAGCCTGGTAAAAGTTCTTCTCTTGGACTACAGTTCCCAGAATCCCCTAGCCAACACATGCTGGGGGATTCTGGGCGTGGTACTTCAAAAGATGACCATTTCCATACTCTGGATGTGACTACAGTTAATACAGGTGCTGCTCTTTCAACCTGCTTCTAGAAGAATACCCCCCCCCCAAAAAAAAGCCACTTGATGCCCATGGCAGAAACACACTGCCACTGGTGGGGATTTGGCCTCGGTCCCTTTCCTTACCCTCCCAGCATCTGCTTGGTGTTGATGCTGTAGACGTCTTTGAATTCTCCGGTTCTCAGTTTGACGATGCGATGGGGGAAAGGTGCAGGGGGCGGCGGAGTGTCGTCTGGAAGAAAGAGAGGATGAGCAGAACAGCCACAACAGGAGGGTGGGTTGGCCTCCAGCCCGGCCAGCTCCGTGGCCCACCCTGGAGAGCAGGTGGCCCACCAAAGCCGCCAGAGGACCGCTCCTAGGCTTCGTTCAGAGGGTGACACCTACTGGTCAAGCCTGGAAAGTGACCACTTAGAGGCAACCAGGTATCCTGCAGGCCAGGTCTTCAGTCCCAGGAGGGGGGGTCCTGAAGTGGCCACATGACCAGCATGACAGGACTCCTGCACCCTTGTCAGTGGTGTGGAAGATGGGCTTTCATCATAGAACTGCAGAACCGGAAGGGACCCTAGGCATCATCAAGGGGTCCAGCCCCTCTTGAGGAGGCATAAGGGGAGGGGATCGAACTCCCAAATTCTGGCTCCACAGCGAGAGACTTAAAGCACCAAACCATGAGTCACCTAAGGAACGGTCCTCTTCTGCGTGGCACAGGAGCCCTGCCTTCCTTGTCATGTGGCACCCTACGGCCAACCCCATAGGCACAACCCAACCAAGGATCAAATGTGGCAAGTTTAAGGGGAACACATATTTCCACCGATTCATCAGTTTCCCCTCTTGAGGCAGGTTTTCTCCAGAGATACAAACCCCACAGCTCAAGTAGATGAAGCCCATGTTTACTTCCCACCGAGCAACCCCCCCCCCAAAAAGCACATTAAAGGCAAGTTACACCATTAAGGAAAACCACATCCCATGACAAGTAAATGCTTTTTGCCACTCAAGCGAGCACAACTTCTAAAAACATTCAAAGCAGATCACTATGTTTGACCCCCACGTTGCAGTTGCATGGGGTGTAAATCCTTTTGAAAGCACTGGTCAAGTGCCTCTCAAGGAGGCATCCTGAAACTTTTGGCAAAGTTTCCCAATCCTTGCCAGATCGATAGCTGCAGGTGTGACCTAAATTCTGCATCCTTCTCCCTATAGCCAAATATATACTCCTGGGCCGGACCCATCAAATTCAAGGGCTTGGCTAAGCTAAATCATGGCTTTCTCTTGACCTATAGAAGTGGAAACACATGAAGAACAGGGAAGGGGATCAGGACCATGAGCGGAATCAGGAAGTCTCTTGGGAGGACGGGGGTCACAGCCCAGCCAATGTTTGGGAAAGTTAGCTTTTGAACTACCGCTCCCATCATTCCACCTAGCACAGAGACTGGGGGGGGGGGGGGACATCCTAGGACGACACGTGTGGAAAAGCAAGACTTGCTTTTCTGGGACTACAAGCTTCAGAATCCCCATGGTGACCGGGAGTTATGGGAGTTGTAGTCCAAAGGCAAAACAAAACGAAAACACCTACGCAGTGTTTCCAGACTACTCCCATCCCAGAACTCTTGTGCATGAAAGCATCCTCCTGAATCATCCTGTCCAGTAGCAGAAGCATAAATTTTGAATGCCAGACGCTCCACCCGACCATTGTTGTAACCCTAGCTCAAAGGATGGTCTAAAAAGGAAAGGCCACTGAGTTGATCTGTATCAAGAAAACGGCCAGCACGGATTTCATCAGGAGCAGGTCTTTTGTGAAGCTAATGGACCTCAATAAATCACTGAAGACAAAGCCACCCTAAAACATCCGGCATCACAACGAAGATTGCTGATATATTAGGTGAAACTATTTTAAAATGTTTTGCATTCCCCCCCCACAAAGTATTGCACATTGATTTGATTTAGATTATTTTAAGGTGATTTTATTGATGGTTGTTATCAGGTGGCATTGCAACTAACCAATTAAATGAAATTAAAGTCTATTAAAGTAATCTCTCTGAATCCTAAATAGCTCCTGCCCAACTCCATATTTGAAAAGCACAGCTCAGTAGCTAGTGATTCAATTTCTGAGTCCCAAACCTCACGTCTGTGCCCCTATTAAAAATAAGCTTTTTCTCCCAGAGATGAATTTCGTTGTATGGGTATACTGTATATATACTTACAATGACAATAAAATTATTATTATTATTATTATGAAGGAGGGGTGGGTGGGTTCCGAATCGCAAGGCTCCCCCCCTCCAATCCCTGCAAAGCAAAGCAATTGCTGGACTCGGCTTCAAGGATCTGCCGTAACAGTTAAAAATAAACTGAGTGAGTCAATGGGCTTAGGTTTTTGGGAAACAGGAGAGTCACTCTGTTTAAACTTCATTTAAACCGAAACTATGCCCTAACTGATTTGCAGGGAGGTGAAATCGACATTTATTCCCAATCCTATCACCATGTCAGAATGAACGACAATGCAAGGGGAGCAGCCCCCGATGGCTGCAAGGTTTCAGCAGCTGCTCCTGCGGCCGGCTGGCTCTCCTCTCACCCTGAACGCCTCCTCGCTCTGCCGTTTATGTAACAGACCCTCAGTCCTTAGGGCTAAAAAAAGGCCCGCCAGGCCAGCCACTTAGCAGCAAATCCCACTCTATCCACTGACTTCCAGGGCTTACATGTCGTCAAATCACAGCCTCCTTCTTTCTACGCGAACTGTCCCCAGAAATATGTATTTGTTGCTGAAAAATAACTAAAAAACAGTTGGAGCAAAGGCAAGTTGTGTAACAGACCAACAAGTATGGAAACAATGGGATATCTCAATGCACCACCGTTTGCAGAGTGAAGGGACTGCAATTCTGGGGTTGAAATCCAGTGGTATGACACAACTAGAGTAGTCCCACTGAGTCCATGGAACTTGCAGAAGAGTTGAACTTGAAACCCTCATGGATTCAATGGGCTACCTGACTACTGGATGTCAGTCTGTGAATACTTTTTGTGGGAGTAAGCTTCGTGGAACATTGAAGGCAGTGCCTTGGTGCATGTGCAGAGCACAGACCTTTAAATGATTGGCCAGTATCCTACTCCGTATTCACATCCACAGATCTTCAACTGTGAAAGCTCCTGCAGCAATCTGCTAAGGTGTGGGTTAGGCGCCTCGTTGCCTCCAGCTGGCACCCCATCAGATCTCTGTGCCCCCTCCGGCTGTTGGAGCTTCGTGGGCATTGCGCAAGACGTTGACCAACCAGGGGAAGCAGGACAGAGAGAAGACTTTGCTTCTTTCGTTAGCTCAGGGTGCCAGGTTAGAATATTTAAAACTAAGAGAGAATAAAGACTACTGGGCGGTATGTAAGGGTGTGTGTGTACCTTTTTTTACATCAAATTGGTAGTCCTCTCATGTTCTGCACTAGATAACATGAACGCACGCTCCTCATCGGCCCCAGGAAAAGAGAAGGTGAACTCCCTGAATCTACGGCTGGGATCTGCCTGAGAGTGAGAACACTCAAAAAGCAAAGATAGGAAGGAAGGAAGGAAGGAAGGAAGGAGCTAATGATGGATAGAAGGAAGGAGCTGATGATGGATAGAAGGAGGGAAGAAAGGAAAGAAGGAGCTGATGATGGATAGGAGGGAAGGAAGGAGCTGATGATGGATAGAAGGAGGGAAGAAAGGAAAGAAGGAGCTGATGATGGATAGGAGGGAAGGAAGGAGCTGATGATGGATAGAAGGAGGGAAGAAAGGAAAGAAGGAGCTGATGATGGATAGGAGGGAAGGAAGGAGCTGATGATGGATAGAAGGAGGGAAGAAAGGAAAGAAGGAGCTGATGATGGATAGGAGGGAAGGAAGGAGCTGATGATGGATAGAAGGATGGAAGGAGCTGATGATGGATAGATGGAAGGAAGAAGAGAAAGGGAGACAGAGAAAGAGAGAGAGAAAGAAAGTAGGAAAGAGAAAAAAAGGGTTTTGTGGAGGGGCTGAGGAATTAGTTTTGGAAAAATTCACAGAGCTGGTTCTTTCAGTCTAAAACTGAAAGCAACGAGGGAAAGAAGTAAACAAATGGATCAGATTTGTCTATTTTCCCAAGACGTTGTTATTGCAATCGCCTAAATCAGAGTGCAACGATACAGTGGGGGGACATGTGAATGGATCCACTGGGAGGTTGCATGTGGGAAGTCAGGTTTCCCCCGAGGAATTTGCTTTCGCTGACCAAACAGGGATCAGCAAAGAGAAAGGAGAAAGTTGGCAAGGTGTGCGGCGTGTTAAGGTAGATCTGCTGTGGCCGTTCAAATCTGCAAGAGGCTTGGCGACATCAGAACTGCCTTAACAAGCTGCAACTTGGAAAGAGCCACCTTAACAAGCTGATGATTAGCAATTTCCTCCTTCTGTCTTTGGTGACTCCTTGCTCTTTACCCCACCTTTGGTCTCCAGCTGCCCTAGAACACCAGCACTTGCATGGTTTGGAATACAGGGGGTGCTCCGTTGAGGGGAACAGATACTCCCTCAAGTGCCCCTTTGTGTTCTCTCTCCCTACTCTGAACAAGGAAGCTGGAAGAGCCAGCTTCTGGTTGCCCCTTCCACAGAGCCTCAAGCCATCACGCCCTCTGAACCGATGGAAATGCATTCAATTCAAGAAAAAGGAGAAGCCCCAACAGCGGAGGAAAGAAGGGCAGAGTGGAAAAGGGGAACTCCAGGCTGATTTGCATCCACTTTTATGTCACATCGTTAAGGACAAATCAGACCCTCTGAATCCCAGGGCATTTCCTGCATTATTTGTCAATGACGTCGCCCCCTTAAATGGCAATTTAATATGCACTTCACTGTTAAAATTTTCTCCCCTCCAACTTAAACATAACTGATGACATGTTTGGTCTCTGACCCCAGTGACTGACCTTTTTCTGCTACCTTTCCCATCTCTGCTTCCCTGGTTGAAATCTCTCCAGACGTGACCCACATGCCTGCAAACCACCGTCAGGAGGTCAAGCACCCCCGCTGACCTTCTACACTGAGTTGGATGTTCATGCCGCTCAAACAAGGTGCCCACAGCGGGTTGCTGTTACACCCCAAAGGGCAGGAGGGCATTACCTGGGCTCCCGGTCAGCCAGCTCCTCTTGTGGGAAGAAGAAGGGAAGCTTCCTTACACAGGGAGGAAAAAACTCCACAGGGACTTTGGGACGCCTTACATCCCCCCCATACTTTCCTTCTAGCTCCATAAACCAAGTTGGCTGGTTCCCAACCATGTTGATTTATGTTTTCACAAGGTGTCAAGGTAAATTTACAGTCCTGAGCAGAATAAGGTGTGTTAATGAGCAGCCATAATGAACAGGTGTGTAGAAATGCTGAGTCATGATGACTCATGAGGGCTGACTCATGTATGATGCAATGTCTAACGTGATTGGACACAGATAGATGTGCACAAGTATATATGTATACTCAGTACAGTAGATGTACTTCCTCCTGTTCTGATGAGTGTTATGCTATTATGCTGCCAGACTGCACTGCTGTATATAGACTGTAAATACACACTGGTGTTGGTGAAGCTGCCTGCATGTGCATGATTCTTTTGGACTGCCTGGACTGCACTTTATTCTACTAACTCTGCTGAATTTTCCGCGTTCTTGCACTAACAAAGGGACAGGAGCTTGCCTTCGACAGAAAACCCAAGCTGAACGTCTCCGGTGTCATGAATACTGCAGAACTGGGCACTACACCCAGAAAATCACGGATGCAGCGCATGGCGGAATCCGTTGGGTGACCCCCAAGAAACAGGGGCTTCCTGGCTCACTCTCCTTGCCTGCCTTCCTGCACTCCCATCCCTTACACTCAAGCTCTGTCTTGCAGAGATCACGCCTTCCTCCCTGTCTGACAAAAAGGTCACCCGTCCACAGGGCAGGACATCCTGTCCCAGCCGTCCAGCGTAAGCAGGTGGAAAGATCAGAGCAACCTCCGAGGCACAGCTCTCGGGTCCTGCCCTTTCCTTGCGAGCCGTCAGAGGGAAGGGGTTTCTCTCCGGATGCTGGAGCGAAGGCAGCAAGAGGGGAAGGGGGTGCATGCCGAGGTGCAAGAGGGAGGGGGCGCAAGTCTTCCTGGCTGGAGATGCCTTCTGTCTGGAATCTGGAGCCCTGGGCAGAGAGAAAGGGTCCCAGTGCTTGGGGGGGGTGGAGGGTGGGAGTGGCATTCTGCGTGGCAGTGGTCAGCAACCAAAAGCCAGGGGCTGCCTGTTAATCAAAGTCTCCGTGGGCCAAAGGAAGAAGCTCAAAGTGGTGCAGCTGCATTTTGGGGTGCCACTCTGCCATAGGAGGGGACTGAACATGGACCTGCTCGTATAACCACTCAGCCAACGGCTCAGATGCCGCTTCCCTTGTTCAGGAAACGAAGCATCTCTGCACCCATCCGATCCGAGGGAGCTTGCCAGCCAGGGCAGGGGTGCGTAAGGGAGACAGTTGAGGGGGGCAGGAAGCATCCCCTCCTTGTCCTCCTTGCACAGCAGAAGCAGCCACGGCAGTGGCAGAAACCGCAGAACGACACCCAGCTCCGCGGACATTGCTGCAGAGCGGGGGCAACCAAGCAGGCCATTATCTCAAGCCCCTTCTGTCTGCTCCCCGTTTTGACCCAGCCGGTCATCTGTTCGACCATAGAGGGTGCTTGCCTGCAGCTCCCAGCATGGCTTCTTGCAGGCTGGGCTGGGAGTGGCTCATGGGAGGTGTGATTCAACACTCTCCAGATGGCCACACGTTGCCCAGTCCTGCTCGGATGGCTGTGTGGGCTGCATTTTTGGTCCAAGAGGGAAATAGTTTAGGCAAGGAGGGTCAACGATGAAGGGATCAGAGGCAGCACCCGCCCCACAGGGGACTGCCGTCTCCGCCTCTGAACACCCCATGCTTTGGAGAAGAGCCAAATACATCACCTGCCCCAGGTGTCTAAAGCTCAGGAGGTTTTATAATAATAAAATAATAATCTTAGAACTGTAGAGCCGGAAGGGACCCCATGGATCATTGGGTCCATCTCTTATCACGGAGGCACCGTGTGGGAATCGAACCCCCAACCTTCGGCTTAGATACCTAAACCACTTGAGCTACCTCCCCGTTCTTGTTTTGCCATTCAGCATAAACAAGAGTTGGTTCTCCTGGGACAGGTCCCAGGTGGGGCCATCCAACAAACCAGTACCAACAGCATTCACAGCCTGTCTCTGGTAGAAGAAACAAGATCAATTCTTCCTGCAGCTATGGAGAGTTTTTCTGAAAGCAAAACTCAACAAGGCACTTGCATGTTCAGATCTGAACCCGGGACCGGGTGTTTTTCTGTCGGGGTAGGTCAAGAAGGAGGAAAGTGCCGGAGCATGATGAGAAAATACACATTTTACCCAGGAAAGCATCAGGGCCGGTCCCCAGTTTCATCCATTCAAGGATCTCAAGACGTAACAAGTCTGGCAGGGCCCCCGGGACAGAGCTGAGAAGACGACATTTCCAAAAGAATTTGTTGCAAAACTTGAGAAAAGGCAGCTCAATATGAACAACATTTTCAGTCCGCAGTAAACCATTATATATTAGTAAAGGTAAAGATTCCCTTTGACATTTAGTACAGTCGTCCCCATCTCCAAGCCATAGAGCTGTCTTGTCCGTAGACAGTTTCCATGGTCATTTGGTCAGTGAGACTAGACACAGAACGCCGTGACCTTCCCACCGAGATGGTACCTATTTATCTACCCACATTTTTACATGCTTTCAAACTGCTAGGTTGGCAGGAGCTGGGACGAGCAACGGGAGCTCACTCCATCGTGTGGATTCGATCTTACGACTGCTGGTCTTCCGACCTTGCAGCACAGAGGCTTCTGCGGTTTAACCTGCAGCGCCACCACTGGATATTATCGAGTGCCATATTACTGGATATGTTTTCGTTCTTGAAAAAAAAAACCTTAAAAGGTGAGAATTGAGCCCCAAATCTTTAACAAAACCCAACAAAAACCACAACACCTAGCATTATAGCTGCCCCAGCAAAGAAGAAACAAGCAAATGTTATAGTATTATATCATTATTATGTTTTTTTAAAAGGAAGACCACTAGGCCCTTCGTACAACCCAACGTAATGCATGCAAAAGGAATGCATCCATTGGTCTGTCTACTAACTGCTGGGTAGCTCAGTGGTTTAGAGCCTCTAGCTGTGGAGCCAGAGGTAGGGAGTTCGATTCCCCTGTGGTGCCTCTCCTTCACAAGGGCTGAACTTGGATGACCCCTTTTCCAGCTCTTGCACTTCAAATTTTATTTCTGTAACGTAGCATAGAAATAGAAACATTCCCCTTTTCCAGCTCTTGCACTTCAAATATTATTGCTGTAACATAGCATAGAAATAGAAACATGTGACCCCCCCTCCTCTTTACACGAAAGCCACCACAGCCCTGAGACCACTCAGGGTCTCAAGCACAACACCCGCTTCTAAAAAATCCTAAAAGCTGAGAAGCTGAAAAAGGTGCACGGACCTCACGCTCCTTTTGCTCTCGTTCCCGGGGCCGTGGTGGCCTTACCCAAAATCAGAGGGTCCTCTTTGCCAAAGTTCGCCGTGAGGTAAGGGCTGGAGGGGGATTCTGGCACGGGAGGAGCCCCCTGGTCTGCCGGTGAGGCCGGGGCCTCCCCCTTTTCTGCAGGTGGCTGCTCTGCCGGTTGGGGCTTCTCTGCAGGGATCGTGACCCCGGCATCCGCGCCTGTGCTTTCTGGAGCCTCCTTCGGCGGCTCGGTCGAGGTCCGCTCTGCTTCCTTCTCAGCTGGGCTCGGCGGTTCTCCGGTGGGCTCCGGCGTCAGGCCAGAGTCTTCTCCTGCCGCGGCAGGCATGGATTCTACAGCTTGGCCGGAGGTGGGAACGAAATCTTTCTGGTTCTGCTTTTGGGGACCCTCCGACGTCTCCTCGGGAATATCTCCTAAGCTGAAACAGGGAGCCACAGGTGAGGTCTCTCCAAAATACACCTATTGTGGTGGAACCCATTCCTGTGGGGGGGGGGCACATTTTTACTAACCAAATTTTAAAAAATAAATTATTGACTGTTATTACACCAGCCAGCCACCCCCTAAAAAAAAGCAGTGAGCAACGGTTGGGGTTAGAATGGAAAGAGATGTTTCTTCGTGGATTTCAGGAAAAATCTGCATGCTACTCGTGGGTGGGTGGGCCCGGGGTACCACACATACTTCCATCCATCCAAATAGCCGCAGCTGCAGGAGCAGGAATGGGGAGCATGAAGGCTGCCACAGAACATAAGGGTCTTCCTCCTCCATGTACAGGGCCCACGCTAGACAAGTAGCTCAACCTTCCAATTTCATTGCAAGAAGAGAGTCAGTTTCTCCCAGTCACTTAAAATCATAGCATGTGACAGTTCCTTATGCCTCAGCTGATGGGGAAAGGATTTTTTTTAACTAGTTATTTGCTTCCTGGATAGCTCAGTGGTTTAGGTCTTTAGCTGCAGAATCATAGGTTGGGAGTTCGATTTCCCCCACTGGACCTCCTGGGAGAAGAGCCCAGCCTGGGTGGCCTTGGGCCAGCTGCACAAAGTCCCAGGGCACCCCAGGAAGATGGGAAACCTCTGCTGAGTCTTCTCTACCTGGAAAAACTTGGAAAGGGTCACCATAGGTCCAAACTGACTTGACGATACATGATTATTATTTATTATTATTTGCTTCTAGGCTCCTTTTTTTGAACCTCATCTATCTATCTATCTATCTATCTATCTATCTATCTATCTATCTATCTATCTATCTATCTATCTATCTATCTATCTATCTATCTATCTATCTATCTATCTATCTATCTATCTATCTATCTATCTGTCTGTCTGTCTGTCTGTCTGTCTGTCTGTCTGTCTGTCTGTCTGTCTGTCTGTCTGTCTAACTCTTCCATCCATCCATCCATCCATACAGGCCCATGTAGACGAGCCCAAAGTTGAGTGATCTCTCTTTACTCCAGCACTATCCCTAAATGATTTTCCCCGAGTTAAAGAAAGGGTAGCTAAGATCCTGCTGGGATTTTACGGGCCCACCCGATAAATAGCATACTGTACGTTGCTGCAGCTGACGTTGTGAGGGAGCGCTCCCTTTGGCGTGGCATCCCACCCAACTTTGGCAATGCCCTCCTTGAAGAGGTGTTTGCCTGGCACTACCACAAAAAACAAAGCAAAGTGCACCACTTATATACCCATGTTCAGCTCATGGAAAGACATGCTTTTTCCTCTCAGCTCATTCCTTTCAGTTCTCCTCCAACCCTCCATTCAGTCATACGCACGCACATATATTGGTGCGCCACATGACGTTAACATGATGTGCATTTGATGAAGACCACGGAAACTGATGGCGCAACAAGCTTATTGTTCCGTAAGGTGGCACCACCCTTGATGGAGTTACGGCAACCCCACGCCAATGCAGACGAGCCAATACAGCACCGTCTCGCCCTTGACACCCTGCTAGGATGACTTTGGCATATGCCCACCCTTTCTAACCCAGCTCCCTCCAGCAAGGTTGAGCTACAACTCCCGTAATCCTCCAGCCACCACAGCTGGCTGGAGGGTCACGGGAGACCTCATTCTGATCAGCGCCAGGGCGCCAGATGCGTTTCTCTTTGGGCCGACTTCCTGAAGGCATCACAGCCCCACGAGGCTCCCATCCTTTGCAAGGATGACCCCCAAAGGCGCCTAGTGAAGAGGAGGGACCTTACCTGGGCACATTGGCCGGGCAGCTGAAGCTTTGCTGAAGGGGCAGGTGCTTCTGTTGGGCGCTTTCTGGGTGTGTTTGGTTTTCCGCCTCTCTCTTGGCATCCTCCCCCGGGCCCTGTCCCGCTCCGGCTTCGACAGCGCTCGGCTCACCGGCGTGGCCGTGGCTTTCCTCCGTTCCTTGGGCTCCACTTGGGGGGCTACTTCCTTCAGCGATCTGGGAGGACCCTTCAGGGCTGGCTTTCAGTTCTTCCTTCAGTTCTGGTGGACCCACCGCCGCTTCTCCTCCTCCTCCTCCGCCTCCGGTGTCGTGAGCACTGCAAGAATCGCCATCCTTTTCCATGGTTTCCTGTCTTCCGGGAGCTCTCTCTCTCTCTCTCTCTGAGACTTTGGTGTCCCGCAGAAACGTGCAGAGTTGGGGAGCCCCTACATGAGACACAAGGCCAGGAGGCGGGACAGTCACTGGGGGACAGAAGCAGACCACAGGCTAAGCTTTGCCATGAGAAGGCAATTCCCCCCCATTTTCCCTTCAGAGCAGCATTCCTTCAAAGCTCCTGTCCCTGAGCAATCATGTTTGCAAAGGGCATGTGCTGGTTGGGGAATTCTGGGGGCTGTAGTGCAAAAGGCAACACTTCCATGCTCTCAGAAAGACAGACAGATAGACAGACAGACAGGAAATAAATCATTTGCCCTGGGATTGGTGAGAGGGGGGAAGGGGAGCAGAGAAGCAGTAAATAGTACTGATGACACAGCTGAAAGTAGGCAGGAGGAGAAACCGTCCACTCCTCTTGCCTTCTTGATGAAAGGTTGTTTACGAACCTCCATCATTTGTGGAAATGCCTGCATACCCTGCAGCTTCATTCTGTTTTCCTTGAACGATCTTTCATCGGGGGATTATCCGGTGGCCTCGGCGTCTCCCTCTCAAAAAGGTTCATGTTCCGCCTTCTGGCTCAGTCCGTGGGCTTCCCGACATCTCAGCTGGCTGCCTCCCCACCCACCCACCCCCATAAGCCGGCCAGAGGATCATCATGGCATCCTTTGGACCTGGACTTTGCCAGGAGGGACAGAAACCCTGACCAGCAGGGCCAGCTGGAGGGAGGAATCACCTTCTCCCCGGCATGCGCGTCACCTGTGCCAAGAGAAGATGGCTCACCTCCCCTCCGGAAAGGCCAAAAACAGGCTTTGGCTTGCCTCGGGCGAGAGAATGCAGCGACAGGTGAGCCTAGTAAATCAGGGTGGCAGGCGAGACGTGGCCCGCAGCCCAAAGGCAGCTCCCTGGAGTCTTTCCTCTGGCGTCCCCAAGGAGGGTGGTCCCTGGGTTGAACCTCTTCCCATTTTCCCTCCGCTGCCACCGGCCACTCCCGACAGCTCAACAAAGATGGAGAGAGTGGGTTTTTTTGGCTGGAGGGGGGGGGGCGTTTCCTAAGGTCAGGTCTGCTTACCCTTATAATTTTTTTTAAAAATCACCACCACTTCCAAAGGTTATGTTACAGGGCACAGGGTGTACAGCTGACGGGCAGAGGGCTGCAGAGGAACATCCTCGGCGATGCTACAGCTGCCGTCCAGCATCGGCTGCCTTGAGGCCATTGATTCTGCCTGCCTGACGGTAGGGCCAGTCTCGCTGGAAGACGTGCCCAGGATGCCGAGGACTCTTCTGTCTAACCGTGCCAAGGGCTCAATGGCACCACAAATGCACCAGACCAGCATCACTCCAGGGCACCCCGTTCTGAATATTAGGAATCCTCCTTGTCCCAGGTTCGGCGACCAGATAGACACACCTGAGGCCAGGCCACGTTTGGGCAGGCTTGGCCAGAAGGCTCTCGAATGAGGATACTTAAATGGCCTGGCGGTGCGGCTCTCAGTGTGGAAAGCAAACATTCCCGCTGTCGGGTAGCAGCTGCAAGGGGAAAGAGGGCCATTTTCTCAGGGAAGCTGCTCCACCGGCATAGCCATCACCGTCCCCGTCACGCTGCAGCCACGAGACACATGCACGCCGCTCGAGTTTGCCGAGAAGAAACCACTCGGCCATCCCAGCCCTTTGTCCAGCGGCTGACCAAGCCGGGCGCTTCTGAAGGGTCTCTAGTGCTCATGACGGTTCCTTCTCTTTTCAGTTGCTTGTTGATCAGCTACTATTCCGCTGAAGATTCATTCCAAATGGTAACCAGACAATACCAGCCACCTATACCTGTCTCCACCCCCTATGGATCCATGTGCTACCTAACCCCCCCCCCCCCCCCCTCTCTCCCACAGCTCATTCACTCAGCTCTTCTGGCTGACCCCTTCCTTGTGAGGCACGTGCGTACTTATGTTTTTGTTTAGGCGGAAAACCTCCGTAAGGTGCCAAATTATTGTGATGATGAAATACTAAACAGCAATCTTCGGAATGTTTTCAGCCACACCGTAAATCAAGTTGCAACCATTTGGAGTGCTAATCAGGTAAGATAATGATTTGCATGTCACAAAAACCTTGGCAAATTAAATTGCAAGTCACAACCACCTGAGTGAAATTAATTGCTGCCTTCTAAAAACCGCCGCCCTACAGGCTCATTGTGAAATCTTGGAAAAAAGATCAGGATGACTTAAAATTTAAAGAACCAAACTTATCACGCCTTGATAGGAAAATACACTTTCATATGCTTTTGTCTGTTCCCTTTTATACAAATGCAATACAGCATAAAACAAAATACATCTACTTCATAGCTTGAAGCTGTACAGATTATCTATCTATCTATCTATCTATCTATCTATCTATCTATCTATCTATCTATCTATCTATCTATCTATCTATCTATCTATTTATCTATCTGTCTGTCTGTATGTGTGTCTGTCTATGTCCATCCATCCGTCCGTCCGTCTTTTGCCACAGCCATGTATTGTCAAGCCACTATGCCGGGAGGCTTACGTCAGATTACATAAAATAAAAAAAATAAAAATTCTTGTCCTCAGTCAACTAAGACCTTATTATACAAAACTAGTCACTGGCTTAATTCCATTAGAGCTTGCTACCCTCTTTGTGATCTCCTGGAAACACACAATTACTATTTCAGAATATTTTGGGGACCTGAAAGAATCAAATCCAGCTTCCAAAGAGAAAAATGGGTGCCAATATTCTGATCGCGTCCACAGAGAGCCTGTGGGTATTGCAGGGTGTTTTCCCACCGACTCTGGCTTCTTTTCTTACACGGCATCTGATGCAAGTCATTGCCCGATGTTTTAAGCACCTTCATTTGGAATGTGTGCCCCCTCCCAAACCCCCCCCCACACACACAACCTGGCTGCACTAGAATTCATTGCTCTGGAGGAATTCATCAAGGTCATCTCTCCTTCTGCTTCCTTCATGCAGACTACAAGCTGAAAGCAGCTGTGTGGTGAGAAGCCCCCACCAACCCCCAAGTGAAGGGCACCCGATGGCTGAAAAGAGGACACCCCGCTCCTTGCCACCAGCCAAAGAGCAACCAAGATTTCCCCCGTCTTGTCTTGGGAAGCTCCTAGCCATTCCCACCAGCACAAAGAATCTTGACCCTTCCATCTGCTCCGAATGGGTGAAGGGGACCCCAACGGCCATGGGAAGCCGCCCCCCAAAAGAGGGCCAAGGGTTTGGGGAAAGACCCCTAAGGCCCTCTCATGCCCCAGAAGCTCAACTGTGCATTGGGCGACCCCTGCACCCATTCAGAAGGGACATGCGCCCAGACTTCCTCCCCGTATCGTCAGCTGCACGCCCACCTTGGTGCACCTCAAACGCGTCTCCCTGTCACCTCAGGACAAGATCCCACCTGCCGTTTGGCCTGCCTAACTTACCTGCGTGAGCAGTACTTACCTAAACTGGGGCAGCCCTTGCGGTGGGAGCCACGGATGGGAAGGGAGATGCCTCCAGACAAATCCAGCAAGCGGGGTTCGGGAGCGATGCTGCCGGCTCACGCACCTGGACCGCTTTCTCCCCACCACCACCAAAGGAAGCAGGGCCACCCTAATTCCTCCCCGGGCCAAGCGGCCCCAACGGCCGTTACTTACCGTCCCCACCGTCCCCAAGGGCCGCCAGCCGAGGATTAAAAGTAGGACGGCGCTGTCCCGCTTCTATACTCGGTGTAACGGAGCTGGATTAAGTGCCGGGAGAGGGACAGTATCTTTTACCCCAGGACTCAGGCGGTTATGAGCTTGTTGCGCTCCCTGCCTTTCGGGCCACCTGTTCCTCTTGGCCTCGGGTCAAGGAACACGCCATTCTGCTGCTCCCGGCTGTCCCTCCTGCTTGGAGGAGGAGGAGGAGGAGAAGCCGGAGAAGGGAATTCAAACAAACAGAAACTGGGCGACCCCAGCCAGCCTTCGTGAACCCTCCTGCTTCCCCCTCCCCAAAGGAGTCCTGACAAGGCAGCCTTCGCGCCTCACCTTGCCACCCAATGCGCCAGCCCCCCAGCTGGGAGCTGGGGCTTCTTCGGCGAGTTATTCCGGGCCCTTGCCTAGGCAGGGCGGGGGACCCATGGCGGGCCTGGAGGGAGGCCAGCCTCCCCAAGCAGAATCCCCATTGTTTAACCTTTTGTGCGGTGCCAAGAGGAGCATGCTTTGCAGATGCTTTGGCTCAGGGCCATGCCAGGCAGGCAGACAAGGGGGCTATATTAAGACCAGGAAGGAAAAGGGGCGATTCGGATGGGGAAGAAGAGCAGAGTGAGCGAGAGCCAGCATCCGATAAATCTCTGAAGACACCTAGAAGCCTAAAGGGTCCACACCACAGGGAGTGTGCCCCGCTGTAACTCTGAAGGAGTCGCTGCTCTGGGCGTGCCTCCTTCCAACTGCTAGAGGTCAACATCTGCTAGAGGTCAACAATCCTACCTCTTTTGTCTTTTTATTGGCAAGTGTGTGTGTGTGTGTGTGTGTGAGAGAGAGAGAGAGATTGAGATTAGACCACTGGAAAACACAGCAGAGCTGGCTGCATTTGGAGGAGGGTGTTGGTTGGTTCTCTGTCTGAGTCGCTTGATGAGATTTGTCACCTTCTGATCTGTTGTTTAGGCGTTAAGTCGTGTCCGACTCTTCGTGACCCCATGGACCAGAGAGCACGCCAGGCCCTCCTGTCTTCCACTGCCTCCCAGCTTCTGATCTGGTACCATCTAAATTATTAGAGCAATCAAGACTTGAGGCATGTTTTCATTTCATAGTTTTTCTGATGTAGGAATAATACATCATAGAAAAGGGGGAGACCTCTTACATTTTGTCTTTTAAAAAAAGCCCAAACCTCCTTGAGCATAGTTTGCCAGTGGAAAGGTCAAATATACATACTGTATAGGTGTTATTTTTAAGTACTGTATATGTGCAAATTCAAAAATCGTGGCAGTTTAAAATTATTGTTATTGCTGCTTGCCATCAAGTTGTAACCAACGCATAGTGACCCTAATAGCACTTTCAAGGTAGGTGAAACAATGGCAGTTTATTGCTGCTTGCCATCAAGTTGGAACCAACGCATAGTGACCCTAATAGCACTTTGAAGGTAGGTGAAATATTTAAGGAGGGTTTTTTTTTACCAGTTCAGGCGGGATCCTGAAAAGCTAGAGGCACTAGAGATCATAGTACAAATATCGGCTGGCTACTGGAGCTCACTTAGGAATTTCAGAAGATCAGCCTATGCTTTATAGACTCTTTGCTTTGGGGCCATGTACTGTATAGATGTGTAAATATTTGCCCTGTACTGTACTCGTATGTCTGAGGAAGTGGGCTTGTCCATGAAAGCTCGCGTTAAAATATATCAGCTAGTCTTTAAGGTGCCACAACATTTCCCCCTTCCTTATTTTTTTATATTTCTTTCGTTTTGGCCTTATATGCTGTCATTAACTGTCCCTCTTGGTTTTTATTTATTTTATTTATTTATTTTATTTATATCCCGCCTATCTGGTCGGATCAGGACTCTAGGCGGTTTTTGTGGACTAAAAGCCATGGCTTCCTTTACTGAATCAATCCATTTCATCTTTCCTACTACTGTAAACTCTCCCTAGCATCATTGGAAATGACAATGAATATTTTCTTCTCGTGATATGTCTCATAAGTACATCTCATGAGCTAGCCTGAGTTTAACCTTTCTTGCTTCTAGTAAGAGTTTGCCTTTCATATGATACAGAAAGGCACTTAACTGTTTTGTGAGGCCCACATTAACCGGGAAACTTTCTTCAGTGCCACATTTCAAATGATAGAATCATAGGATAATTGAGCTAGAAGGGACCCACAAGGCCATCAAGTCCAACCCCCTGCTCAAGGCAAGAATCCAAATGAAAGGAGATCTGCCAAGTGGTGCTCTAAATTTCTCTTGAATGTCTCCACTGTTGGATCTGCCAAGTGGTGGTCTAAATTTCTCTTGAATGTCTCCACTGTTGGAGAGCTCACCACCTCTCGAGGTAACTGGTTCCACTGTCGTACTGCTCTAACAGTTAGGAAGTTTTTCCTAATATTCAGCCTAAATCTGGCTTCCTGCCGCTTGAGCCCATGGTTACGTCTCCTGCACTCTGGGATGATGGAGAACAGATCCTGCTCCTCCTCTGTAGGACAGCCTTTCAAAGACGAGTGCTTTCATGCCCAATTCCAAATGAATTGCGTTCATGCCCAGTTCCAGGCCTTCCAAAGGCACCACCGAAGATGACAGTCTTTGATGTCAGCCAAACAGGCAGGTTCTTGCACTCCTACAAAGAACGGAACGCTCAAGTTCTGCAACAAGTTGAGCATATGGCTCCAAGCAGAATACACCAGATGAGAGGATGCTTCCTGTGGGCAGTTCCAGAGCTCACATGTTCTCCCAGGTGATGAACTTGGGCTTTCTCTGGACGCACACATAGAACACAGAAGAGGAGGAAAACCCAGCCTAGAGGCGGCCACCCTACCTGCAGAAGATCAGCCATTAACGCCTGCCCAGGAAGAGACTCCTTGTTTGCAAAATGTCAGGCACGGTGTGTTTTGCTGCTCTTGGCAGGAAAAGCGGAGGACCGAAATAGGTCTTGGCAACAGACCAATTCCGGGCAAGGGGGGGGGGGAATAGGTTTCACTCAGGCAGGTCCTGGTTGGGCAAAGACTTGTCCTTTATCTTCATCGGGGAAAACAGGAGTCGAGAAGAGGTGTGCCAGCCTTTCCGGTGGATGATGGGCACGGGCCCTGGCCGAGAAGAAGGTGGAGTTCGGGGCTTAAGCGGTTGTGTTGTGGCAAGGCGGACCAGTGGAAGGAGGGTGGCTGGGGGAAACCTGAGACAGGAAGATTGGCAAGTCCTCGGCTCCCAAGTCCCAAGTCCGAGTCCCTATTGAAAACAAGTTTTTTTTTCACTAGAAAAAAAGGAGGGTGGATGAATTCCAAGTCTGTCTGCTCGTCTAATTTGCACACCACCCATCTGGCTACAAGGCCACTCTGGGCGGTTCGCAGCAAGACAAGACAATAACAGCCTTAAATAATAAGTACATAAACATCACAATACTATAAAAATAAGCAATAAACATAGACTAAAAACTGAAATTAAAGTTTAACCTATACTCAACAGATACACAATAAGAAGCATTTGATAAAACTTTCATGTCGGCCGTTTCCCACCCTGTTCCAGAGGGGAAGGTGGTTGGAGGCACATCTCGCCAGGAACGGGGTGGGATTCTGTCTCTTCTAACAAAGTGCCCACGTGCAGCTTGGCGAGCCAGATCCCCGTCCTGTCAGGCTGCCAGCTCCGGCCTAATTAAGCGAGTCATCCCTCCGCTTCCTCCTTCGCTCTCGTGCCGGGCGTCGGATTTGCTCCGTCAATAAGCGTGCCAAGGATCAGAGGGGCTGGAAGGGCTTTGGAGTGAGCAGCTGGCCTGGCCGGGGCCAAAGGGACGCGCAGCAACGGCGGGCGGGTGAGGAAGGCCGCCGTGGCTCCCAGGTGGGGTGGCCACACACTCTCTGTGGTAGAGGAGAACCCACAAGAGAAACCTGCCTTGGAAAGGCTGGGGAGCTCAACCTTGATTTAAAGATTTTTTTAAAAAAATACACACAGAGAGACAAAGGAGGAGCATGGCCAGAGGCCGTCCGCACGTTGCAGCACCTGGAAAGCACAGAGAGCAGCCACAAAAGTCATCGAGCCGTAGGTTGTTCCCATTTGCATGAGAGATGTGCTCCAATTCTATTTAAACTAGAAACATCCTTTCTAATTTGGCATCAGTCCAAATGAATTAGCAAGTTTACACAAATCACTGTCCTTTTTTAAAAAACCTTCCTTTCTTGGTGATACAAAAGTTCTCACTGTCCTTTTTTTTTTTTTAAACCTTCCTTTCTTGGTGATACAAAAGTTGGCCACCTTCATCGTTAACATGTTGTGCGCGATCAAGTTGCTTCTGACTTTATGTTGGAGATCGCTCCTTCGGAGGGTCGTCGCACGTTGGAGGGGACTTTATGGCACAGAACAGCAGCAGCAGCAACAGCATTATCACAAGCTGCTCTGGAGTGTCGTTGTTTAGTCGTGTCCGACTCTTCGTGACCCCATGGACCACGCCAGGCCCTCCTGTCTTCCACTACCTCGTTATCACAACCTGCTCTGGAGAGTGTTGTTGTTGTTTAGTCGTGTCCAACTCTTCGTGACCCCATGGACAAGAGCACGCCAGGCCCTCCTGTCTTCCACTACCTCCCGGAGTTGGGTCAAATTCATGTTGGTCACTTCGGTGACTCTGTCCGTCCTTCTCATCCTCTGTCATCCCCTTCTCCTCTTGCCTTCACACTTTCCCAACATCAGGGGCTTTTCCAGGCAGTCGTCTCTTCTCATCAGATGGCCAAAGGATCTGTCCTTCCAGGGAGCACCCAGGGTTGAGCTCTGGAGAGTAGGTTTGTTCCAAAAAGTGACGTAGGAATAGCAAGGAAGCAAACAATTTAATAGGCTTAATGGTACTGGAAAGAATTCAGACAGAAAAAGCTCCCTGATCCTGCGTCAATCTCGTAATCCATGTAACCCACAGGGGTTGGAAAAAGTTCCTTTTTTAGACTGCATTGCCCAGAAACCCACAGCCAGCAGGGGTGAAGCATTGTGTGTGTCGTAGTCCAAAGAAGGAGCTTTTCAAAGCACTCTGTTGTCCTCTGCTGGCACAAGTTGGACTCCAACCAGCCTTTGAAGTACGTAATAGGACCCTTTTGTGACGTTCCCCATCCCTAAGCCAAAGGTTTGACAAGTTGGCAATGCAGTCTGATGGACTACCAGCCACAGAAACGGGCTCCCTTGCCTTCAAGCTGCTGGGTCCCTCTTTGCAGCCAGAGCTGAATGCATTTGGGCATCTGCATGGAGGCTTCTGTGAGACAAGACACCTCGCCCAGGATCCGAAGAGGGTACTGTCCGCCTCTCAAATAAAGGCAGAAGCACAAGAGATAGGAATGATAGAAAAGAAATTAAGTCAACTAGAAATAGTAAAAGCTGAAGTGGGGTGCAAATTAGGTGGGAAAGGAAGAGGATAAGAAGGAGAGGGGAGGAGGGGAAGAGGCAGAAGCATGTTGGGGAAGAGAGAAAAAGAGCTAGTACAGTTGATGCTTTTGAACTGTGGCGCTGGAGGAGACTCTTGAGAGTCCCCTGGACTGCAAGGAGATCAAACCTCTCCCTTCTGAAGGAAATCCACCCTGAGTGCTCCCTGGAAGGACAGATCCTGAAGCTGAGGCTCCAGTACTTTGGCCATCTCATGAGAAGAGTAGACTCCCTGGAAAAGACCATGATGTTGGGAAAGTGTGAAAGCAAGAGGAGAAGGGGACGGCAGAGGACAAGATGGCTGGACAGTGTAATCAAAGTGACCAACATGAATTTGACCCAACTCTGGGAGGCAGTGGAAGACAGGAGGGCCTGGCATGCTCAACAGAGTTGATCCAGGAAGATCCTCGGGGAGGAGAGTGGGTAGAGTTCAAGGTGCCTCATGGGTACACCGAAAGGGAATGGAGGTGACAAATGTATAGAAAGCCACCCCACTGAGGCAAGACTGAAGAGCAAACGAAAAGGAAGGAATATGGGGTGTGGGTGAAGAGAGAACAACAGAGAGAAAGGCAAAAATGTATAGGGATTCCCGAGTAGTCCCGTGGGCCCTTCAAACCCTGACATAGAAAGATATATGGCTCAAGAAGGGGAGAACTGCAGGGAATTCCGACGCCCCACCCACAAACATGAAGTGGGCTGCAAACACACCAGAGTTGACGGGTGCCAGACCCAAATTGAACCAAGAAGTGAAGAGTTATTCCCCGTTGTCTGTGAAGAGATAACGTTTTAATAATGTAAAACTTATGATTTGTTGTTGAAGTTGGATGATGACAAACGAGGCCAAAAAAATCAAAGAAGCCATGTTAAACAATAAACCGGTTTCATTAGAAGAATTGGGTGTGGCAAATTCTTCTTTGGGGGGAAGCAGAGAAGAGGGAGGTGGATGACAAGCTGCATAGAGCACAGCTTCCCGGCGTCTTTTTCCTGCTCTTCCTTGAGCTAAGAAAGGAAACGGTGATTCATCGGACATTGTTGTCCGGCCCATAGCAGCAAGTTAACACCCCGAGACTATGCCACTCACCTCATTAGCCCTAATCGGGCCGTGCTGTCAGTTTCAGGCAGCCAACAACAGCACATATGCAATTGTCTCGTTAGTGTCGGCTTTTGTAAAGCTAAAGAAGTTAGGCAGGCCGGCGAGCGGGCGGGGGGGGTCACTGTTACAGCACCCGTCGGGCAGCAGAGGGCTGGGCAAAGCCTAGAAGGAAGCCCTGGTTCTGTACTAAGGAAGCATCAACACTGACTGTTAAACAGGGCTGAAAAATCTTTGGTTTGGACTTTTAATAAGAAGGAAGGAGCAGCCACCCTTAAATAAATTCGTTCCCTCTGAAAAAGCAGGTGGATTACTGCAATGCACTCTCATGCGGGGCTGCCTTTGGAAAGTGTTTGGAAACTTCAGCGGGTCCAAAATGTCACAGCCAGACTGTTAACAGGGATCACACAAATCCCCTGTTACAGCAGCTCCACCGGCTGCTGATCCATATCCGCCGGGGCACTGATTCTGGAGGTTTTCAGATTGTGGGGGAAAGGAAGGCTGTGTTGGGAAGGGTTTTTTTGGGTGACGGTGTTCCAAACCCGGCTCAGCCAGCATGTCCAGGGGGAACTTGGAAAGACGTATTCCAGAAGGAAAAAAAAAGGAGTTTTCTGAAGCTCTGGATCAGCTGTCTGCCAGAGAAACATGGAGGACTCCAGGACTCATCGCCAGGTGTTTTAACACAGAAGCTGGCCTTCAAAAACAAAACAAACAGCAGATGAACACATGTACCCAGACTTTAAGAGCATAACTGTGTGTGATGTTATCCACCCTGGAGAGGGAAAACAGGAATGCACACCCTCACTCTCTCTCTCTCAAACACACACACACAGAGTGTAGGGTGGACTCTGGGCTCCAGCCAGCAGCTCGGACCAGTACACAGAGTCTCCTGGGAAAACTGGCCTGGAGTCAAGCATGCCCGTTGCCCCGGCAATGCTGTCGTCACGGTCTCCAGCAGAACACCCTTTAACCTTTCCGCTCTTTCCATGGGCCTGAGAACGCAGGACGGGCTGCCAAGGCCCTGTGTCCCAGGGAAACTCAATCCCGGTGACTAAATCCAGCCCCTCCACCGGGGCAGCGGGTTCCTTCCAAGCTGGAAAGGGGATCCTTACCTGGACCTCCCAACTGCCACCAGCCCTGTAACTGGAGAGCCCAGCCATGATGTAGTGACCAGAGTCTCTCAGCTCCTTCCATCAGCATTTTGGAGGGGGGGGACTTCCCTGGTTGAGGAGGAAAATGCCAAGAACATTTTGACAACTACGGAGGGCGGATGGGGAGAACGAGGCAGAAGCCCTCATCCTCACCCACCCCTCGCTTGGCCTGTCCCCTCTTGGCACGCTAGAGAAAGCCACAGCATCAGCAGCCCACCTGGTCCTAGGAATGGCTGCTCCGTAGTATCCTAGGTGTCTCGGCTTTAGAGGCAGACGCCACGGGTCTTCTCCCACCTGGTTTAAGGGTGACACTGCATCTACTGGCTCTGGAGTGCAGAAACGTCTATCCCCTTGGTGCAAAGCAAGTCCAGAAGCATATTCTGGTCCCTTCTGCTCTGTCCCTTGACTAAGGAGACCAAGAGAGCCATAAGGGTGTCGTCGGGGAAACACCATGACAAAAGCTTGGAAAACGACTCTCAAGAGTCCTCCCGCCTGGCGGGAGATTCCAGGATGTGTCATCAAAGGCATCTTATTGGTATACCTGTATGAGGGAGCTTCGTGTCCCGTTTCTGCCACTACAGGCAGTGAAAATGGCTCAATGCCCTTTCAAAAGGGAGCCTCAGACACGGGGGTGGGTGATGGAAGCCAGCAAGAGGTTCAGACACCTTCCCAAATTTTACTTTGCAAGGTGTACTGGCCAGGCCCCATAGGAGTGGCAGTCAAAGGACTGGAAAACGATGCCTTGTTTCCCACTCACTCCTGGCGTATATTATACAGCTCATGAGGGCAACACTGGTAAGGGTTTAGCTGGGCTCGGGGAGGAGCAAGGCTTGCAGGCAAAAGGCCTTTTCTTTTTTTTAAAGGTACACTTAGGAGGAGAGATCTCTGCTCAGGCCTTTTAAGAGACATGCCATGGACCACCTCTGACCCTTTGCCACACTTGCAGGAAGGGGACTATAGGAGTTCTGGTCCAGAAACATCTGTCAGGCACCAAATGGTTATCTCCTCCTGGATTAGGACTGTAATTTGCTGGAAAGGTCATTTTGTCAACCAGCTCATGTGGACTCCGGATGTTTTCTTGCTGGGCTGGAGTGAGGCGATCTGGGTTCAGATCCCCACGCTGCCGGGCAGCTTACCCAGTGACCTTGGGCCAGTTATTGTTTCGCTGCTCAACCCACTTCATGGGATTGCCATGTGAGCCAAGTGTGGAAAGGATCGCTGACGGACAGGTGAGGCATAAATGCAAACAGTAAGAATAGCAGCACAGGTATGATATGCCTTCTTACCTGTGGTGGAAGATCAGAAGAATGTTCCTGGGGGCCTTACTCCCCAGGCTGCCCATTGGGGCATCTGGGGAAAAGGATGCTTGAATAGAGAAGATGCTGATCTTGAACCAGAGGGTTCTTCTTGTGCCTCAGCCGACTGCTGGAAGCCCGACGGCTCCCTGGCTGCTCTAAGTAACTAACAGACATGCTAAAAAACATGAGCTGGTCCACATGCAGGAAGGCAAGTCCTTTGCTTGCAAAGTGATTGAGATTAGACACACCTAAGAACTTTTTTTTTAAAAAGCCAGGCTTTTAGTACAGTGGGGTCTCGACTTACAAACGGCTCGACATATGCACATTTCGACTTACGAACCGCTCTCATAGGAATATATGGACTCGACTTGCGAACTTAGATTCAAGTTACAAACTCTTTTTTTTCCCTTTTTTTAAAAGCTAAGTCATCTTAGGTTAAAAGGAAAAAAATATATCCCCCTCTAGTGGCAGAAGGCGGAATAGCAGCTTCCCATTAGTTTCTATGGACGAAAAGAGCAGATACGGATTAAAGGGTTTTCAATGCATTCCTATGTGAAAGATTCGATTTACGAACTTTGCGACCTGAGAACTGCCTTCCAATACGGATTAAGTTCGTAAGTTGAGACCCCACTGTAACTAATCTGCTGTTAAGGAAAGAATTTTAGTGTGGGGGGGGGGGTTGTATCCCTTTACTTTTTAAATGTTTTAAAATGAGTTTTATCCAGTATTTTTAAATACTTTGATAATATTTAGTATGTTTTTTAATTCTGTAATTTATTGCATTTTTAGTTTTCAGTGCTTGCTTTTTAAAACTGTAATATGGGGTAGAAATGCATATACATATATGAATATAAATTATATACATACATAAATAAAGAGGGGAAGGGCAGGCATATATGCCACCTGGAGCTGACTGGGAGGAAAGTGAGATATGTTATAAAGAAATGGGATAAATAAACCAACAAACACATCCAAGTGTACAGAAAGCATTATTGCATGTTAAACCCCCCCCCCCCACACACGGCTGTTTACATCCTTGACATCAAAAGCTTCTGGAAATCATGCACTGCCAACTTCTGGCTGAAGCTTTTCTCCTCCTCCTCCTCCTCCTCCAAAGAGGAATTCATCAAAGCTACCCCTGGGCTCACCTCCATCCTTTTAGGCTAAACCTAAAAATAAAAATGAAATTTAAAAAACCCTTCTCTGTTTCCTCTCCTACATGCCTCCCGCACAGAGAGAGACCAGCCTGACTCTATTAGATTCATGTCATGCGATATAAAAGTTTATTTGGAATACAGACTCCAAGCAGGAGCAGGGACTGAATCCGGACGAGGAAGAGAAGCCGCTCAAATAGCAGGAGGAGACCTTGGCTTGGCCACTGCAAGCCAAGAGCGGCTATATTTACGGAGGGGCTGGGGCTTGGCAAAAGGCCGCTTGGTGGGGGCACTCTCAGGAAAGTAAAGAGGAAAAGGAAACCTCCTCCTCCACTCCAAGGGGCAGCGAGAAACATTCCCGGTAGTAACATTTTTATTCTTGTTCAAGTCGACCATCGTCAGTGCACAAGAACAAGCCCCTCCAAAAAGAGGGAGCCACTCTAGAAAAAGGCAGAGAGTTTCTGGAAGTGACCGGGGTCCAAACACAGTCTAGTCCTTTACTTCGGGAAATTAAGAAGGAACTGAAACCACCAAGTGGTGGGTTTGTTTTTTAAAAAAAGTCTGTACATAAAAGGCTGGTCAGAAGGCAGCCTGAAGGTAAGCAGGAAGGCCTCCCTGCCCGTGCTGGGGTGGTGGATCCGCGCCCTTCATGGCCTCCGTCAGCGTTGAAATCGGTCGGAGAAGTTAGGGGACCTGGGGACGGTGAGGGGCTGGTCGCTGGCCTTGACCTCCACGCTCTGATACTTGCGGATGGGGTTGGCTTTGTGCACCTGGAAAGAGAGAGGAAGACGGGCTCCAGCCACCGAGAGGAGAGGCGCTGAGTTTTCCCCACCTCCAGGAGAAAGGGATGGATACCCTAAAGATCAAGGATGCTTTAGAAGAGGGCAGCTTTCCACGCCTCGTAATACAACTGGCTTTCAAAGGTGTCAGACCTGCCACGCAAGACCCCTGAACTGGTCAGGCCAGAGGTCCAGCCTGGGGGGCCTTCACAAGCTCACCAGGCCAGCCAACTCTTGACCCAGGAGCCCTTCCCAACCTATTTCCACCCGTGCCCTCTATGGCCACGGCAGTATGACCACCACAGTGTTCTCCGGGATCGGTTCTCAAGCCAGAGTCTAGTGCCGGCCTCACCTAGTCCACCTCTGACACCCGCTGGCCATACTCAGGAGCAACACCTGTCCCCAGGGACCTTCACTAGGCTGCCGCTGTCCTGGCTGCCTAAGGCTTTACAGCTGTGATCCTGCTGAGTAATATCACGGCCATCACAACCACGGCCACAGAGCAGGGCGGGCATGATGGACCACACCACTAGCTTCCCACCCCTGGCCCTCCTGGGGTTTCACACTTCAGCACTCAGAGGCTCCGGGCAGGAGGATCACTGAGGGTGAGAGGCCACTGAAGACCAGAACGAAGGCTGACGAGACAACCAAAGTGGGCAGATCTGCATTCTTGGGACTGCGACTCCCAGGCTTCTGGGAACTGCGGTCCAAACACAAGACTTGCAAACCTCTGGCTGGACTACGCATTCAAGTCACTGGGATTGGGATGAAGACAGACACACGGAAGGTTCAGAGAGTCAAGGCTGGGAGTCTGGTGTTGGGAAACACCTAACTGGGTAAAGGCACAGAGCACGGGCTTTTTATGAAGAGGGACTGCAGTCTGCTCAGTATCACATTCAGCCATTGGATTCTTAGACAGGGCAGCTTCGTGTAATGGAGGGTGCCATCGCCCAATGATGCTTACTTTATTCAGGAAAGGGCCCTGGGGTTATGTGGAGTCAGCCCTCCTCCCCCTCCAGCATGGCCAGACTCCCCACTGCTTCTTGCTCCAGTTCTGGTGCTGCATCAGCTTGAACTGGTAGATTTCCCCATTCAGGCAGCCTATTGGTACATGCAACACCAACAGAGTCATATGAAGCCCAGCATTACCCACCAAGGGATCTTAGGAGCAAGGCTCAAGACGGATCTTGACCCGAGACAGGGGAAAGATCACGAGCGCCAAAGGAAGGGAAACAAGGTGGGGCCTTATACCGGGTCCGCTCACCAGCCCCAGATGCAGCCCTTTTTAAGTGCTATAAATGCTGTTTGTAGGAACAAGCATTGGGAGAAGCAGCTCTATCCTCTGACTGTTATTTTCTAGCTGGTGCTATGTCTGAAGGGGAGAAACCCCTGGTTGTAAGCGAGCGATACATTTAGCAAGAACTTTAAAAGTTCAAAAGGTTCTTCTTTTTTATGTAGAGCTTGCATGGGAGTCGGGTTTTCTCCTCCTCAGACTCAGCGCTGAACCTGGGAGGAACGTGATGATGGATGGGGTGGGCTGAGATCAGGGTCTCTTCCCTGTAGTGATGGGTTGAATAACGCCTGGAGAGGGCGCTTATCTCCTCTGGTGTGTTCACTTATGACTCCTGGCTCTGCAGTTCCAACCGTCCTGCAGTCAGATGCCAGAAACAGCAGCTGGAAAAGGCCCACTTCGCCTGGCCGAACCTCTGCTATTGAGCCAGCACTTGTCAAGACTACAACTGCCAGCAACCACCCAACTTTATGGACACCGGCCATGCTGGCAAGATGACTGTGGAAGCTGGAGTTCAAAAAAGCAACATTTCCAACCCCTGTGATGAGGGAGGGTCCTTTCACCACTGAATCCCACCACTCAAAGGTCGATCGACTTGCTATATTGCCCCTCGATTGATGCAAAACATTCTCAGGCAGGAAATGCATCCACAGTGAGCATTGCTTCCGGCCCACTGGGCTTTTATGGTCAAGGCTGACATTCATTCCTCTACACCCAGGGCCCAAATCTGGGGCAGATTTACCAGCTCTTCTCGGAGCCTGGCCCTCTCCTCTTTCTCTCGCTGTTCCTCAATCCGCCTCGCTGCCTCTTGCAGCCTTGCCTTCTCTGCTTCAAGTTCCGCCAGCCGCTTCTCAAACTCCTGCCGTTCTCGGGCTCGCCGCTCGGTGGCCAGCTCAAAGCTTTCTGGAGCTGCGAAACCAGAAAGGTCCTCTGAGTTCAGAAATAGAGGGAGGACACAACACAGATGTGGTAAGGCAGAAAAAAAGACATGTCGAGCACAGCCGTGTTGCCGCAGGATAGGAAAACAAATCTAGCCCCCATGTGTTTCTGCACTAAGTTGCCTGCATTAGAATTTTATGAAGTGAATGAGGCAAAGTTTTTTTTTTAAGAGTGCTAGAGGAGACCTGCCAAATCAGACCAAAGGTATCCAGAAAAAGTCACTAGCTACTATAGGGTGCCATGTCATAGGGCTTAGTCTGCTCCTAGGTCAGGTAAAGGTTCCCCTTGATCTTTAGTCCAGTCGTGTCCGACTCTATGGGGCGGTGCCCCGTCCCCAAGCCATAGAGTCAGCGTTTGTCCGTAGACCGTTTCTGTGGTCACATGGCCAGCGCAACTAGACACGGAATGCCGTGACCTTCCCACCGAGATGGTACCTATTTATCTACTCGCATTTTTACATTCTTTCAAACTGCTAGCCTGCTACTAGGTTCCACCAAATTACAGATGATGCGCTGAATGGCCTTGGCTCTCACTGCTGATGGCCCACAGCAAGTATAAATAGAACAATTTTTAAAAATTGAAAACCAACAAACGAAAGACAAACATCTTCCAAGCGAGCACAGAGTGCTGTCCTCTGAAGATGCCGGCCACAGAGACTGGCAAAACATTAGGAAGAACAACCTTCAGAACACGGCCAAAGAGCCTGTGAAACAACCATTAGATCCCGGCCGTGAAAGCCTTCACAAATATATCTTCCAAACTATTTAGGCCAAGAGGATTTATTCCAGTGGGAACTCTCACGGATTTCCACCCACCTCTTCAGACGAAAACAAACAAACAAACAACACCCCACAAACTGGAACGACTGTCATTCAGCTACAGGTTTATGTACATGATGTACACAGTTGTGTGGATGGGGACCAGGGATACAGAAGAAGGCAGCTCTAACACTGGTGATGGACTGCGTGTTGACTGCACAGACCTCCTGGCAACAGGCAGAACAATTAGCTAAACTGTCTGCAGCTCATCCACAACTTTTTCGCTATTCCTTTCGGAGTGGAGAAGCAAGGAACCGTCTCACGAAGGAGGAGTTTGTTGTGCTTCTGCCTAACTAGCCAAGGAAAGAGATCAGAATGCATGAAGGTCCATGCTAAAATTCATTTTGCCTTAAAGGTGCCATCATGATGATCATCGTCATTTCTAGTTTTGCTTTGCTTTGCTTCTGGGATGCATGCTGAAACAGATCAACATGATGATCTCTTTGAAAACTGATTGCACACAGGTTACTCCTTCCTCCTTTGCTACGCATGCTGAAACAGATCAACATGGTCTCTTTGAAAACTGATGGCACACAGGTTACTCCTTCCTCCTTTGCTACTAGCGGTGAAGATTGGTTTGTGTTGGGGGTGCTGGGTAAGCAGGAGAAGGGAAACTGCTCCCCGGCTCCCTCCCAACACGGCTCTGCACCCCAAAAACATGCAAGAGCGTTATGTCATGAACAGGAACCCTACAGCCTTGCTGATTAAAAAGCTCCTGCACCACCGTGCTTTCAAGCTTTTTCCTGAAGAGCAGGTTATGGGAAACAGATCCAATGAGGTGCGTGTGGCTATATAATATTCAAACTACTCTTGAGAAACAAGCACAGGTTTCTCTTCCCTTTTGGAATGGGCTTGGAGGTTTTAAAGAGCAACCATAAGCCAGGCCTCTTTGGCCTCAAGAAGCCAAGGGCGGGAGTGGGTGGAGGCTGGCAACCTTTGCCAAGACGGCTGTTCTTCCCTGCTTGCTCCTTACGCCTGCCCTAACTTAGCACTCCATCAATCAAAGGCAGCTGACAAGAGAGCAGGTGAGGGCAGCTCTCCCAGCAACAGAGACCCCTGGGCCGAGATGCCGGCTGTCATGAGGAGGGTTCAAGGAGGTATTCCAAAGCAGGGCACTGTAGGGCACATACAGGCTCGGGGCGGGCAGGAAACCTCACCTGAGATAAGTTTGCTGTCTTTCTTTGGCACAAAGGGCTCCTGATGCAGCACAGTGCTTGGCTGGGCCTTGAACAAGGTCGCTTCCTTCTGCCGTTTCATCTCTTCCTTGAGCTGCACAGGAAATCGAGAGGAGAGCCGGATGGGTTAGGATACAAGCACACTCCACAGAGAGGCACCCTCGTTCGTTAGGGCAACCACGGCCGACCGTTCAACAGCCAAGAACAGGATGACAGGAAATTCAGCGCTCAATTGGATGTTGGGGGGTTTAAGTTAAAAGGGCACCCTTTCAGACCCAAGTGCAAACTGACACCGTTGAGATTTTGCACGGCCCAGCCCAATACAAATGCACTCCTGCTCCACCAGAACTCAAGGGCTAGCGATGCATATACAAACGCCAAAGCATGCCTTAAAACGGCAATATTTTCCACACAGATCATCTGCCCCTACCCACGGCGGTGCTTCTCTTTCTAGGGGGAAAGGACAGATCCCCCACAGCAGGGGAACAGCTTTGTTCGAGTGGGGAGTGTGGCATGATCAGCCCTCCAAGCTTCAGGCCTGTGTGTTGGACCACAAACATCCCCTACCCAGGAAAGGGCAAAGCGGAAGCATCCCTTTCCGGGCTCCTAGAGGTGGCTCCTGCAAGAAGCCTCCTCCAGAGCCCCGTCATCTTCTTACCTGGTGCTGCCACATTTCATGCTTCATAGCTCCTCGGGTGTCAATGGCCAGCTGGAAGGGCTCTGGCTTGGTGGGACTCTTCACCTTCTTCTCTGGCAAGCTGACGTGCTCAAACTGAGGCAAGGGGTTGGCTTTGAACTTGGGCACCTTCCAAGAAAACCAAGAGACAGGGGCAGGGCTTAGCAGAGAAGCTGGTACCAACGGCCCGTTCCTGGGCAAGGGGCTTGAGCGAGGGGGGCTCAGCTATCTCCCACAGTGAGCTGCAGAGGACAGGGGAGGCCCTGGAGCGGCGAAAGAGGTGGCCTTCCAATGATGTTCCCTTTGCCTCACCTACCTCTTCTTTCTGAAGTTCTTCGATTTTCTTCTCTTTCTGGAGCTGCCTCTCTTTGTCCCGAGAGTCAAAGGAAAAAGGGCATAACTCCACCTGCCTTGGCTCCGCAGCTTTAGGCTTAAAGGGGACCCCGAAGTGTGGCATTGGCCTGGCTTTGATCACAGGGGCCACTTCTTCCTCCTGCAGGAGACAACGCCAGGCGTGAGAAAGAAAAGCGGAGGAGACCACGGGAGACAGCCTCACCTGCAGCTTTCTCTCGCCTCCCCCTGCCTACAGAAAAAAAATACCTTTTATTTTAAGGAGATTTAGAGAAGGGTGAACATTGTGAAGGCAACTGTGACAAACCGAGGAATTCTGGGCACGGGTTCAGATAGGGACTCTGGAAAATGACACTGCCACCGGGATATTTGCAGCCAACGAGAGCTTGTGGGCAGGACAGAACCTCACTGTGCAAAATGGAAGAAAAACCAGTTGCTTACCTGCTCTTTTAAAAGTCATCATCTGTGTGTATTCACGCATATGAGTCTGAGGTACATAGAAGCGCCGGTTGGAAGCTTCTAGGTAAGAGCTTAGATGACAGCCTTTCCTATTCTGTTTACAGCACACGCATTAACAGGCCATGCCCCAATTAAATCTCTCTCTCTCTCATTCTCTCTCTGTGCACAATGGCAGGTCATATGAATGCACAGATGACCGCTCAAAGTATAAACATTACTGGTAAGCAACCTCCTCTTCTTAATCATGGTCTCTGTGCATCACATATATGGGTAAAGTCTGTCTATGAAAAGGCTCAGGATGGCAGGTAGATAGGTGCCTACCTTCGCCAGACATGGCAGAGAGGACTGTTCTCCTAAAAGAAGTGACCATGGAGATCTGGAATCAAGGCAACAGCATCGGTGGAAGGCTGCCAGCTGTGACCGAGCTGGTGTTTGACACCTTACAGTTTTGATTTCTTTCAGAAAGGCAGTGGGAGGAGCTTGCTTAAAGTGTTATAAGAGTGCCAATTAAAGCCTTCAAGCAGGCTGATCTGATCTAACTGTAGCTGGGGGATTTTTCCAGCTTCTTTGAAGGAAAAGTGAACCACTTCTTGTTCTCAAGCAAGAAAGCAACAAGGTTAACTAATTCCACCCCCACCCCCCGAGGAGCAACCAGTCTCTTCCTAGACAGAAAAGTGGGTTGGCAAACTTCGTCTTAAGGCATACACTTGATGGTGGGCCATAGAAGAGAGTTTCTCTCCTGTGGATCAGGCAACAGGGACTGAACTAGGGCTGGATGTGTCAAGAGCCAGTTACAAACCAACACCCCAGACTTTACAGAGTATCTTCAGCCAAAGAAACAACTTGTGGTGTCTAAATCTCTCAAGAGGTATCCAACTAAGTGTAGCCACTGTTGCAGGCCAGGCCGAACAGCCCTGCAAGAAGTTCCAAAACAGGTCTCTCTGTGGATGCTGGCCTGTATGTGTGATGCACAGGCCAGAAATAAGTACCCTGGCTTGCAACGTTTCTTGGTCACAAGGGTTCATTTGGCATCACTCTTGCGCCACCACAGATTGGTTTGGCCCTTACTGGTTACCCAGCATCACGGAAGACAGCTGTCACACCACCCCAGAGATTAAGAAGAAGCCATCAATCACCTTCTCTTTTTCCTCTTCTCTCACCAGGGTGTGGGCTCTGTTCTTCAGGGCGAAGGCTGGGGACTTTGGAACGGTAATAGGAAGCAGCTTTTTCTCTGGAACGCCCTGCAGGGGGGCAAAGGAAGACGCTGGTGACCAGGCTTTCCAGAGACAGGGGCTTTTTGAGAAGACCAGAAATGTGCACTTCTATTAGAAAACAAATGAAAACTTCTCTGCTGGAGATCAGAAGGGCTTGGTCTCCAGAACTGTCCCTTGACCAACATTTCCTCTTCCTCCCCCACTCTATCTGAACCTAAAGAAACCTCTGTTGACATTACAGAAACATTTTTAAAACTGTTTACATTTCCAAAAGATCCTTCTTTGCTGTGTGGTCATACGGTAGGACCCCCTTATCAACAGGATCAGTATCCACCGATTCAATTATCCAGTTCAAAATATTAAAAAGAAATACAGAGATCTGATGGGGCACTGCAGTCGCAGGTCATTTGGCAGGAGCATTTGGCCCGAACTTTTACAAAATCATCAGACATATGTGCAAGGATTACCACAACATCCTCCAGGATTTTGGTTGGACACGGCCTCGAACGGAACTCGAAGTGCTCCTCCTCCAGCGGCTTCTTGTTCTCGCGCTCTTGAATGCGCTTCTCTATTTCCAAGTTGAAGCCAATGGGCTTAGTGAGCTCTTTCGCATGAGGCTTCTTGGGAAGGATGGGCGCACCCTCCAAGATCCGTGGGTTGAGCTCTTGAGCTTTGAACTTGTACCTGTCGAAGGATGGGAGCAGAGCATGGGTTGCTAACGCAAAGCTGGTATGGTTTCTCTATGGCTCTCAGACTCTTAATCCAATGACTCCCACTTGAAGTTACTTCACAAAGCGTTCTCAGTCAAAAAGGTCTGAGCCCTTGTACGCTGAGCCGTAACACAGAGCACTGAGCCAGTGCTACAACACACACTGCAATTCCACATAAGCCTAGATAGAATATGGCATCCTGTGCGGAAGTAGTGATGCAACACTGAAGGTGCCACCTGTTTAGCGGGCAAGAGCAGAGAGCAGCTATCCATTCCTCCAGTTCAGAAGAGAGAGCAACCAGCTTTATCATCCCCCACGGATGTAAGCATTCCACGCGGTCTTCTTTTGAGCCAGACTACTGAGTCATCTAGCACAATGTGGGGATCCTTGGCTCACAACAGCTCTCCCAGGGCTTTCTGGCCCTGTTACCCGGAAACCCTTAACGTCTAGGCAACACCACCCTCTCTTTCGTAAGCATATACCCAAATCTATTTCCCATGGATTGGGACCCTTTCCGTTTTCCCATCAACTAGATAAAAGAAAGGGACTTCCAGACGGAGCCCAGCTTTGGCTTTCTACTTGATGGAAAATGGGCAAGTCGGCTTCCCAGGGACCGCCATCCTCCCATTCATTCCTAAGTCTGCAACAATAATGTGGGGGTGGAGGGGTTCTGATCTGCAGGAAGAAAAGCGTTTTTTAAACATGTCCTCTGAGGACCTAGTCTCGCGTTTGTCTCCTTACGGTATGAAAGGACAAGGAGTTGCGCAAGGAAATCTTTTTCTAGGGCTCTTGAGGCCGGTTGCCTCATCTGTGAGAAGGCTTGTCAGCAAACTGCAAAAACTGTTCACAACTCCAGGACCTGCTGGCCTTGTGGCAGGGATTTTTAAAAACAACAAGCAGCAGATGGATGGTTTACGTGTTTCTGATTAACCCGCCACTCCTTTTGTGTTTGTTGTGTGTGCGTATGTGCCTTGTTTCACACAGGATAAGACAGGGGTTTCCCGGACATTTCAGAACCCTCAGGAACAAAACACCATACTGCTTGTCTTGCTCTCGTATTAGAAACCTCTTGCAGACGCTAACAAATTCTCAATGGCAAAATTGTTTAGAATTAGCAGTTTTGTGAACATCCTCCCTTGAGGTTCTTTCTCCACTATCCCATTCTTCCTCATCTTGAAAATTTCACACTTGGAACAGAAGCAGAACCTCGAAGGGACCATGCCCATAAATACCCACAAACACACACTCGTCCCACTGCCACGGGATCCGGAATCTGTCCAACCTCGACTGTAGCTCTGCCTACCTGGCCTTTCTTGCAAGACTTACTGTTGCAGTTTGGCAATTTCCTCAGCTTCCAGCTCAGCCGCACTCTTGCAAGTTACTGGCCTGGAGCGGCTCTTGGTTTCAAGCCGGGGAGTTTTGGGGTTGGTCAACCTGGCCTTCAATGGTCTGTTCTGAGCAAGACCTACAAAAAGAGACCGGAGATCGTGAAGGTCAGTAACTCACACCAGAGTGCACGACCCTTGATCTTAAGGAAAAGGGGGGGGAGGGTACCCTTAGTGAACTCTTATGGAGGCAAAAATCCTAGCAGCTAAAACGTACTGAGCATAGCACGCAGCTGAGTAAGAGGGCAACCCTAAGATAGTCTTCCTCACTAGCCATCATTTCTGTCCATTTACATGGAACTTTAAAGTTTGTGCAATAACTCTGCCCTGTCTAAAAAGTATAGGGTGCATGGAAGGACATGATTCTTATTTATGCAAATTAATATGATTTTCTCCAATATAAGCAACTGGATTTATAGTGAATAGTTTTATTTAAAAAACAAGGAAATGTCTCTATACCACACTTAGGTAATTAGTCTGGGTATCATGTTCCCCAAACATTAAAATCAATGCCTTTAAAAATAAAAAGATTCTAAAATTAAAACTTGAGTTTGTTTTTAAATATTTTTTACTTTATAAAAAGCCCTGTGTGACAATAGTTTTACCTTACAATGTGGTGCAGCTTGAAGATCTCATTATAGAACAGGAATTATAAATTATATTTTACATTATGAAATAATGGTCAGAAGCCAACTTAATACTTATGCCAGCATTTTAAGTGCAACAACATTAACATGAACTAACAAAGAGTCACTAATAAATGAGGTGCTGACTGAATTCCTACTTGTACGCTAACTGTATGACTTGGCATGCAATTAGGAATTCAATTGAGGACTCGTTGATTAATTTGCCACTGAGTTATGCCATTGCACTTTATAATATCAGCATAAATATTCAATTTTGAATCTGCAATATGAAAAAAAATATGTTAAGGTCCTATGAAAAAACAGGGCATCTTTCATGAGAGTCACACTATTACGTCTGCACCTCGGTCTAATCTGGGCTGGAGGGAGATATGTGAACAAACCTTGACAGACAACAATACCCAGAGTGCAAGATTCCTGTGATCTTGCTCTAGTGAACCCATTGGCCTCTTTACCTTCATCTTCCTTCCTGCTCCTCAAGTGGTAGCGTGGGGGAGTACGCTTCTGGAAGTTCTCCACCTGCTGAGCCAGCGATATGTACTCAGAAGCCGCTTCCTCCAGCTTCCTTTTGTTGCCCTGGGAGAGGTTGAAAGGCTTCGGGATGGTCGGCCCTTTTGCCACTCGGGCCTGTAAAGAGACACAGAGAGTTGTTGATGGATTAAGAGAGAGTGGATTAAGAGCAGGCTGTTCTGCTAACAAAAGTGCTACTCTCATGCAACCGAGGCCCCGATTGCTCCGCATAGCGAAGAAATCGCTTTGCGACGCTGTTTTTGCGATCGCAAAAGTGATCGATTTGCGATGGCCCCTATGGGGAAAATTCGCTTTGCTATGATCGCGGGGAAGTAATCCTCGCAAAGCCCCCATTTTCAGCCAGCTGATCGGCGGGGCTTTGCGATGATCGCTTCCCCGCAATCATTGCAAAGCCCCCATTTTCGCACAGCTGATCGGCAGTTCCAAAATGGCCGCCCGCTGTTTTGCCTTGCTTTAGAGGCACCGAAAATGGCCGCCGCAATGGAGGATTTTCGCTTAAGGTGAGTTTTGGACTTTTTAAAATTGCTTACTGACGAAATCGCTTAGCAGCGACTTTTGCTGCACAGATTAACATTGCTAAGTGAGGCACCACTGTACAAAAAAAGTCGTGTAACAATGTAAAAGACAACAAACTGACTACGCATGCAAGTGACTGTGAAAGCATACACCATAATAAATTTGTCTTTTAAGATGTCACAAGAATCTTTACTACCATGCTCTCCAAATCATTGTGTAACAGTCTGCTATGTAAGGGTTATGCAGGGGAGATTGGCATTTAAATCAACCTACCATCATAGTTAAATCAACAAAGGCAGAAGAAGGAAATGGATAGACTGGCATTGACTCTCTTTGGAACCAGGTCAAGGTTAAAAGAATTAATAGACATGCTGTTAGCTGTCATGGCTCCTTGGATTCCCTCCCCTTCAACTGATCCATTTGCTCAAATAGCATGGGAACAGAGAAGGAAGGCCGGGCCAGCGGAGCGGGCCATGTTGATGGCTCGGTTTAACCAGCAAGCAGTGGGCCAAGAGACACTCTGTAAACTGTGGCTAAACCAGAGGTACCATAGGAGTGCCACAATTCAAGGCTAATAATGTTCAAGGACTGGTGACTCCCTGTAGTATTTTGGCAGCTCCTCATAGCTTGACTCAAGTCCTTGGCTGATCTCCTGAAGGCATTAAAAAAACACATAGAGGTTCCTATCTATTGGTCTAAACGCTGCCATCCAGCAGTGACCTGAAACCCATTTGGTCAGTTGGCCAGATACGAGAAGATAAAGACGGTGAAGAAAGGGGAACAAGCCGACTTCTTCCAAAGGATGCTTTGGGAAGACCGTTCGAAGCTTGTTCAGGACGCTGGGTCCATGGGAGGCCCTTGGTAGATCTAACAAAGAGCATGGAGGGCAAAGCGATCAAAGGGAACTAGTTTTGATCGCTCTGTTAGGTGCCTGAACAAAGCTAGGGTACCTCTGAATCCTGTTTATTGGGGAAGACACAGAGTGGAGTACTCCTGTGCTCAGATCTTGTCTGTGGGCTTCCCCACTGGGGCACTCGGTTGGCTACAGTGGGTGCAGGATAGACGGCAAGAGAGGGTTTTTCTTCTGATTCAGGTTTAGGGCTCCTCTTGATTTTCTAGCACAACGTAAACTGATACCACATCCGGACATCCACCTTGAGGCTCTTGTCCTTACCTGCATCTTCCAGGTTTTTCGTAACACGATTTCCCTCTGCTTGCAGAACCTTTCAGCCCCGCCCGCCAAGAAACGCAACAGTGGAAGGTCTGGCAGCCAGGCCTCCTCTCTCTCTGTCACTCACGGGAGAGGGTGGGTGTCTCCTCAGGGCAGCCGTGAAGTCCACCTCCTTGTACTCTGTGCCAGGATGGCTTTCCCCATGCTGTTTAATCCTCTCATCCGTGTAGAAGTGGAGGTCTATTGGCTTGGTTATATGAGTTGCGGTCTTCACAGGTTGACCTAAGGGGGCAAAAAAAGGGGGGGAAGGGGGGGTGTTCCTGAGATTTAATTGGAAGCAGAAGCAAACACAGGAAGTATTCCAAGCTTCAAAGGGGGCAAACGAGTTCACAGTAAGACTGAAAGGCAGCATGAACAAGTTCAAAAAGAAGCCTTTCCTGTCCAGTCCAAACAGAAGTGGCCGGTCAATGCACTGGGACTTGCTCTCGGGACCATGAAGACCAATTCACACCCATGGAATCAATGAGGAATTCATCCCACAGGCAGGGCAGATTGCAGAGTCGCAGCTCAGCCGTGTTTCTGTGCTGCTCTCGGGCACAGAGTTGCTCCGCAGCTCATGCAAGACCCTCTTCAAAGCTGGAGGAAGGCAACTGAAATCATCAAGGGGCTGAAGCAGGTTTTCACTGAGGAGGAGAAAGGCCAATGAAGGCTGTGGATTGGGAGGCCTTCTCCAAGTCCCCTCCTGCTGGCATCCAGATGCTGAGGTTGAACCGTGCCTCTAAGGCAGGGAGGGAGTCCTAGAAATATGCTAGGATGAGAAGACCAGCCATCCAGGGGAGGAACTCGAGGATTGCAAAACAGCTTCTTCCCCCAGAAGAGGAGGAAATATTTTCAGGGAGCCTAAAATGCATTTTTTATTCCTGACAGCATCCAGGAGCAGCAGTTTTTGCATTGGGGGGGGGGGAAGAGAATCTCAGGGGCTCCCAAACCAAAGGCTCTCCCCGCCTATCAAAATTAGATCATTTCTTGCTGGCCACGTTGTGCTTCAATTCTCCCCCCCTCCCCCATTTTTGGACATTTCCAGGGTTGCTGTGGTTGCCATGAAGGGGACCATATGCAGAGATCTTGTAAGTAAAGGGCACCGTGGTCGGGTGAGGCAGCATTTAACCAACACATCACATATTACTGCAATGCTGCCGTTGCCAACCTCTGCAAGGCACCTTTCTAGCATTTATGCCCCCTTAAGGGAAGTTTACCTGGCCCAGCAATAGCTGCTTTTAGGGATTCCTCATTCTTCCGGCGTAGCTCAGCTACCTCTTGCTGCAGCTGCTGCATTTTCTCAAGCTCCAAGTCCTCCGTTGACTTGCCTTTCATAGATGGAGTCTTCCTTCTGAAAAGAGCCCCATGCTTTTTAGGCAACGAACTTGAACAGGCATGACGAATTCGATACATTTGGCAGTCACGGTGGATGGAACAAGACGCCCACAGGTTAACATAAGGCCTCATGTGAGAGAGGCAGGCCATTGCCCAGGTAAGGACAAGTAGACAGACAACAACGATCACACAAGCTTCTTGTGTTTGTGCTGGACACCCTGCAGTGTTTGGCGGGGTGTCTCCCACGTGAGCACTTTGTCCATCGCTGGTGTGATGACTACTGGCTGGAGTTCCCAAAATCTATCCTGAGCCAGCCACACTCTGAAGTCAGCCAAGCACCAGGAGGCAGATCTCTGTCGACTCTGGCCCATGAAATGGAACTAGTGGCATACTCCTGAACTCTCCGGATTTTGCCAGTTAGGAGCCGCACAAGACTATAACCCGATGGCCACCTGCAGAATGCCATCGCTTTGGGAATTTACGATGACCCACGCTAGCCAAATTGTCAGCTTTCAGCTAGAGAAAACCAGAGGAGCTATGAGAAAAGAAAAAGGTGCTCGTACAGAATTGCCATTCGGTCCAGTGGTACAGATGTTCAGCTGGGCAATCCCAAGCCACCGCCACCACACAGCGCCTCCCACAGGGTGATGAACATGGGTGCCAGTGGCAGTACAGAAGGGGATTCCTACCAAGCCACCTACTTTGCTGCTGACGGTGTGACTCTGGCCTTCACCGGCGAGGTGATTCTGTTCAAGACAATTTCCCCCAGCTTCTCCCGATGATTAGACCTTAAGGAGAAAAAGAAAGAAAGTGGGTAAGGATGAGGCCTGCAGTCCTGAAATTACTCATGCTTCCGTCTCCAATGCAACGTGCTTCCTCGCTGTCACCACTGTGCAGAGGGTCCCAATCACCGGTGCTGAACAGTCGTCTAAAAACATCAGCCTTACCTCAACACTCGGGCAGGCACACAGGGTTTAGAGCTCTTGGAAGGCCTGAGAGAGCTGGAGAGGGAACAGCACAAGACTGCTCAGAGCTCCTGATTTCTTCCTAAGCTTATCTTGAGCATGTTTTTGTTATTATTATTGTGTCTTGCCTGCATAATTATGTTCTAAACTGCCCCGAGAGTGCTCTGGCAATACGGATAGCAATAATTATAATGATGATTTGGGGTGGGGGTGAGGAACGACCCCTTCATTCCCAAAGAGCTTTGCCCCTCTTCAGAAAAGGAAAGGCCTTTGGGGAGCACATCCTACAGAGAGGAAGGCCTTCCCTGTAAATGAGACGAAGAGGGCTACATGAGGAGGACCGCTATCGACACAGTTCTCCGGGAGTTTACAGGGCGGTCTGCTTTTAAGTCCTTCAAGGAATGGTGTCATGAGAGACAGTAAAAGCAAGGAAGAGACAAAGGTGGAGAAGAGACCACCAGCAGAAGAGAAAGAAAGACTTTTCGTCCCAACTTGTCCCTTTTCTATCTATCCCAGTGCATTCATTCCTAGACCCTTCTGTCTCCTACACATAAGGAGGCAGGCCAGAAATTTTAAAGAGGGCCGACACACATGCTGCCTGCCCAGCACTGTACTTGTCCAGGGTAACCCCGCATTGTGCTCCGTAGGCAGAATTCAGCAGGTCAGATGTGTCAGAACCTTCCTGCATCTAAAGTGCGGAACCCCTGCCCTAAATAACTAGAAGACTTATTTGGTAATGGGTAACTGCAGTAAGTCAGGTATTTTCCACCCACGCATAATTCCATTTTCTCACTCTTAAGGATTACAGTTACTCAGACCTTCAGTTCCGAGCATTCACTAAGGTAAGATAAGAGGGAACTTTCAGATGAAGCTGTGCTGTCTGTCCATCAGCACGACCCAATATCCTTCATCATCCTAGCGGTTGCACTTGCAGTGAATCCGAGCAAGGCAGGGACAGGACGGCCGACCGTGGATTCAAAGGTGACGCTGAACCCACTCTCTGTCCCTCTCCCACCAACAAGGCACCAGACCTACAATTTCTGCTTCTTTGGAGGAGGTGGCTCTTGCTTGCTGGCCAAGGCCGCGGCACTTCTCTCTGCCTGGCTTTTCGCCATGAGTCTGCGCTGGGCACTCTTCCGCCGAGCCGACAGCTTTCTGGCCACCCTAATGAGAAGACGAAAGGGTGAGTTTGCACTCAAGGTACTGGATAGAACCATCAAAGGCATGGTTTCAAAGCTGATTAATACATGCAAATATACGCAAGCTCCTTCCGGCTAATAGGGACACCACCAGCTTGGGATGGTCGCAGTGTTTTAACTCCAGGACAAGGTATACGGCTTTGAAAGCTTAGGCACATGGTAGCATTTAAGCTGCCAGCAAGGGAATGGAAGAGAAGCCTCTCAGAGGGTAACGGGCATCGTGTCTGCCAGAATAGATGAACATTTGATCTGATCAGCACAGATTTGATCATTTTATCACGACGGTCAATCACTGGAGTAGGAGAAGACATCTGGACAGGGACAGAAAGGCCACTGGCAACAATGCGCGAGAAATAGTTAATTACCCTGCCTTGTAGCACTTCACGTTTATTCCTTCGGCTTTGAAATCCTACATACTATAGAGTACTGGGAAATCAAAGTATCTTTTCATAAGAAGCATCTCATGGAATTGTGCTTCTCCTCAGCTAGATGTTTGTATGAGGTGTGTGTGTGTTTATTTTTTCTGATGAAGTAAAACAAAACAAACGCATGAACAAAAATACCCCCAGCTGGTATCCTCCATAATCCTCCAATGATAAACTGGATCCTGGAAAATATCCTCCCAAACCAAACCCTTTTGTTATTTTGAACTGAAAGCGTTGTCCAGGCTCTCACGGATGATCAGTATAGCAGCATCCATTCATGAGCACTAGAAGCCTAACCGTCTCATTTTGTGATTTCAATAGCTTTTCTCACACAAATTGCTGAGCTAGTATGGCCGCTAGCTCACTGCGTGATGCCAGATCACGCCTGCTGGGGACCAAGATGAGGTGCGCTGCTTGATCGCAACAATTCTGGGATTAACGTTCTAGATTAAGCGGGCCATCAAGGTCTTAGAAAGAGGGATGGTGAGTTTCTAGTTCTTGTAAGTGCCAATTACCGAGCCTGAGAACAAGCACTCATGGGCAGAAAAGGGCTGTGCAACTGAATGCTGCAACTCACGTGAGCTGCGTCATTTCAAGTGAGATCCATGTGCAACCTGGATCAGCCGCCTAGAGTGGTCCGGTGGTCCAGACAGGCGGGGTATAAATCTAATAAATCAACGTTCAATAGCCAGTTTGTAAGAAAACCAAGAGAAGCGCATCTCCCCTTGGAGGAGAGGAGCATTATACTGCTAGGCAGCATTAGATTGGGTCTAAAGTTGCAAGTTTGACCCAACTCCGGGAGGCAGTAGAAGACTTCTGGCCCATGGGGTCACCAACGGTCGGACACAACTAAAGAACAAAAAGCTGCAAGCTGCCTCAACACAAAGTTTCAAGCAGAGGGTGACCAGCCTTCTTACCTTCCCGGGGCTACTGCAGGAGCTGCAGCCGACACCGCCTCATCTGACGTGCCATAGAAATCTGCCAAAGAAGCCACCACGTTTGGTGGCACCCTGTCTGATGCTTCCATTGCCTTAGTTTCACTGTGATTGTCACCTGAAGATAAAGGACAGAAAGGACATAAACAAGATGTTTCCCAGTGTGAACACCCCAGCCTCTTTTCTCTGTCTTAACAATCCACGCAGCTTTTGACTCTTCCCTCCCACTGAATGGAACCAGCCTAGCCCATTGGGGTGAAATAAAAATGACCAGAGGGATTTTGATAGAAAAGCTAAAACAAAGCCAAGAGCACCTGAAAGCCTGCCTGTGGTTTCTTTGGGTATTGAGAGTTGCCCAACAGAGATGTTATGGGTAGCGGTTTGTACAGCAGTTCATAAGAGAATATACACCAGTCCATAGCTGGCTCTGAACAATTTGCATAGCACTTGATAGATAAATCACTAAGATCCATTTCTGGTGCAAATATATCCATAGTTGATACAGATCCAATGAACGAATCCCACTCTTGGGAATTAATCTTTGAAGACATCCCACTGTGAATAATGTTTACTGGTTTATATCCCGTCTCTCTCCCAGAAAACGGGGTGCAAAGCAGCTACATTATTCATTCAGATGCAATTTGGTAATGGGGCAAGTAAGCAGGTAGCCACATTTCCAGGATGACTACAAATTACTCAAAAGGGTAAACATTTAAGGATTCCAAAGGAAACTCTCTAAACGGCTTGGGTGGTCGTTTTTAGAGCCAGCCATGTCTTGCTATGAACCAAGGAAGGGGAAAACAGAACAAAACAGGGTAGGAGCTCTTGAGCTGGACTTAAGGATTTCTCGGGGTTTGAGAAAGCCAAGGGCCAGAGGAACAGGGCTTGCTGGATGTTCCTGCGACCACCACCGTATTACAACATGCTGTTCCTTTGAGCAACATCACTTACTAGATTTCACCATGGGTGAGACCACGGCATGTGGGAGCTTCGCCCTCGATGTTGATGCACACTGAAAGATGCCCTTGGCGGAGTCCTCTCTTGGGGTAGCCAAAGTGCCTCTTCTGGCATCTGAAAATACAACCTCATCAGTCCAATGCACTGACCAGCCTTGTGGGCCCATTGTTTCCTGGTCTGAGAGAGGGACGGGAAGATGACTAGAACATTATACTCAGAGTCTCCATTCCTTCTTCACTGTGGGGGAATTGAGAGGTCAGTAAAAGCAAAGGGGGGAAGCAGATGAGCAGACCTCTGAGACCTACTCCAAGAAACCACCCTTGTATTCTAGCCAAGCTTCCATTCCTGGATAGCTAAAACTGAAAGGAAGAATGGAGAGAAAAAAATCTGGTGAGGATGGAGGGGAGGGAGGAAGGAAGAGAGAACAAGGACCCGGTTCCACAGCAGTCACACTTCCCAGCCCTGCTTTGGACTAGTTGGGTTAACGTCAGCTTTCCTTCACTCTCCTGCCCTATGACTGGGACTTCTCAAATTCCCCCCCCCGGGGGGGAGGGGTTGATAGCGGAGATAGCTCTGAGTTCCTGCCTTTCTTTGTGGCAGCTCTCAAAGCTGACAAACTGTAAGGATAGATCAGATAACCATAAAAGGTAAAAAAGGTAAAGGTTCCCCTTGACAATTTTTGTCCAGTCGTGTTCGGCTCTAGGGGGCGGTGCTCATCCCCGTTTCCAAGCCATAGAACCAGCGTTTTTGTCCGAAGACAATCTTCCATGGTCACATAGCCAGTGCGACTTAGACACGGAACGCTGTTACCTTCCCACCGCGGTGGTTCTTATTTATCTACTCACATTTGCATGCTTTCGAACCGCTAGGTTGGCGGGAGCTGGGACAAGCGACGGGAGCTCACTCTGTCACGTGGATCCGATCTTACAACTGCTTGGTCTTCTGACCCTGCAGCACAGGCTTCTGTGGTTTAGCCCACAGCGCCACCACGTCCCTTCTATAACCATGGCCACCTTCAATAGAAACAGGTCAGGGTATCCCCCGTCAGAACTTGCACTGGCTGTCAGAATATACTGCAGGCTAGGAAAGTCGGCCATTCTTGTTGTGTTGTTCCATGCCGTCAAAGTGCCTCCAACCCACGGGGACTCTATGAAGGAGTGATCTCCAATTGGTCCTGTACTCAGCTGCCCTGCTCAGCGCTCGTAAAGTCGAGCCCAGGGCTTCTTTGAGGGATTCAGTCCATCTCATATGGGGTCTTCCTCTTTTCCTGCTGCCTTCCACCTTTCCAAGCCTTAGGGTCTTTTCCAAAGAATCCTGCCTTCTTTTGATGTGCCCAACATAGGACAGCCTCAGAATTTTTGCTTCCAGGGATAGTTCACGTTTGATCTGATCAAGGACCCACCTGTTCGTCCTTCTGGCCATCCAAGGTACCTGTAAGATGGGTTCATTCTAGGTCCACCATAATGAAATGTCTGAATCACCTACATGGAACCGCAAAAGCCTGTATACAAAATTCCGGTTAAGCTACAAAATGAGCCAGGAAGACTCTCGATTGAGTCGCCCTGCATATTTTTACAAAAACACTATAAACATCTCCCTACAATACGCCTGAAAAGATAGCAATGGTTTAGGATGAGGGGCAACTGATTCTGGAGTAACAATGAGTCTTCCTCTTCCTCTCCGACTGCATTGGTAGCTTCCTGTGCTAATTTCAGGATGTTCCCATTCACATAAAGATAAATCTTATCATGAGCTTTCACGGCCAGCCCTTTATAAAGTGGATCTCAACTTTTAAAAACTTAAAATATTTATTTCTTGTTTATCTAATGTGTTCAGGTTGCCGAGATCAGGTAACAACCACCTCATAATAAAATAATATAAAATAGCAAAGAGATGGCAGATATCTTAAATACAGAGTGTTACCGGATATTTATATGAACATATATATGTTCTGTCATGAGGTATTACATGTACAGAACAGCTCCTCTTACTTTTCGTATACCTCTGCAAAACAGAAACAAGCCTTTGGATGTTTTCTAAATAGGTATTTGGCCTGCGATTCTGCAGTACCTCAAAGCTATCAGACCGAGAGCTGCTGCTTTTGTCAGCATTGTGACGCTACCCTTGAGCAATGTAGAACAGGGTCTCAATAATCTGTGGCAGACTGAGTAACCAGAGGCATTCCAGCCTTCCGAGGTCAGTAAAAGGAGTACCCAGTTTGCTGGGGGTGGATGGGGAGGGGAGGGGAGGTGCAATGTGTAGTCTGCATAATTAAATTGTAAACCACCCAGCAAGTGCTTTAAATGCTATGTGGTGGTATATAAGCAGCACATTTTCTTTCTTTCTTTCTCTCTCTTTCTTTCTTGCATATAGGTTGTTGGGCCAGTGTTGTGGCAGCATTTTTATAGACCTTCTTTTTTCTAAAATAACCGGTGACAACATTGGCTTCTTTTGCCGAGATTTTGCACACCTTTACTGCAGCAAGCAAAGATTAAGGTTGCTTCTCTCCAGAGCTTGGAAAAGCAAAATTTCCCCCCAGTTCTGACACCATCAAAATCAGCACCTGATAGCAGAAGGGGGAAAATAAATAAATCTGCAGGTCTAGCTAGAACCCGCTTAAGATCTTACCACTCAAAATGTGGAAGCCTTTGAGGAAAGGGTTGCAAGGGATGTTTGGACGCCTCCCTGACCTTCTCCCAGACTGGCTTCACATGGAAAAGGCCAGGTGTGCCCTGCTCTCCCCTAAGGTATCTCCACCTAAAACCCAGCACTGGCAGTCAATTGAGTCTTCCAAGGCTTTTTGCACCTTAAAAGCAAGCTGGGCCCCCCAGCCAATGTGCCATCATCTATTTCCCCCGGGAGCTATGCCTACGTATGAATCATACCAAGAAATATGGCACAAAGAGACCATCATGTATTTCAGGGATCCTGGAACCTCCTTGGCTCCCAGCTTAAGAGAACAACAGTGAGAAGTCAAGTATTCTCTCGGCTCACACACCCTCCATTGAGTTCTCCTGTCTTTCTAACAATCCCATGTGCTTGTAATCTGTGCAACTCCAAAAGAGGAAACTATCAAGTTAGGGGAACATTGTGGCAGCTTTGCCAAACTTTTTTACCAGCAGGGTTCAGATGGAAAGTGTTTCTCAAAACACAATCCAATTCTGCACAGTTCCCTGGCCTGAAGGATAAATCTTCCTTGAGAAACAAGCAGCAAGGAGAAAATGGCAATACCTACCAAACCAAGCATCAATGGCAGTAATTTCCTCCTCATTCATGTCTTTAAAGTTTACAGGCTCAGGGACATCGTAGAAGTAGGTGTCCTCAGCCATTTTTCAAAGCGCTGGCTCCTCCTCCTCCTCCTCCTCTGCTGGAGCAAAGACTTTTCCAGCCGCCTTGGAACGGATACCTGAGAAGCAAAATTTATGAGGTTTTACAGTGTGGGAAGTAATTCACATTTGTGAGATTCAAGTTAAGTTGTGCAATTTGTTTTTAATTAACTCCTAATGGATGTCTGACTCAAGTCCACTTTGCACAACGACACTGTTAAGTCACCATCATCCCAGGTGTGAAACCAAGGTGATCACAATTTTGCAACCAGTGCTGCCAGAAAAGAGGCCAAGAAGGATGGGCGAACCCTAAAATGTTCAACAGCAAGTACATGGAACCATGGTTTGAAAAAAGTTGTGTGTGGGTGAGTGGGGGGAAATAATGTCACTGCATAATATTTCTATGCGTACGCTCTTTCCATTCAGCTAATATCTCTGTTAAGTGTTCTATTGTGGTGTAGGACTGTATATGTATACTCAAATGCAAACCGTTACTTTTCAAGTTACAAACAAAGCACCTAACAAAAATACAGCCACAACACGCATCATTTATTGTAAAAATGTGGGTCAGGAGGGCCAAATGGAGTGCTTGACCCAATTATGATGCAATAAGGCCCCCCCACCCCCCATGCAGAGAGAGGACAGGTGCTTCTGGTCCTTGGATCCATCTCCGTAACAACTTTGGGAAGTTTAATGACTTACTTGGGTCACTGAGGGATAGGCAGGGCAGGAAGAGATCGACCTCAGATCAAAACAAACTAGGGAGACCATTAAGAGATCAAGAGGAGAACAGGATTTTTCATCTTAAGAAATGTCCATATTTTTCAGTCCATACCTGGGTCCATGAAAAAAGCACCAAAGAACCCAAACTACAACAGGAATAGCATGCATACTGCAAGACAGGGCAGGGCCATCTAAAATATTGTTTCTCAGTCACTGGAATATATGCCACCTGTAACTCAATTGCACAGGTTACAGGCCATCGTCTACGGACCCCACTAGTTACAGTTTTCTGTCTGTGACCTTCTAACACTGAAACACTGGCATGTCCTTTAATCCAGGGCTACCACTCACTTCTTGTCAAGGGTTATTCGTTAGGTTTCTGTTCCTCTTCCATTTCTTAGTTTTAATATACATGTCATATAATGTGCTTATGCCACCAACTTCTGACCTGTCATTTATTTATTTATTTACAAGATTCTTTTTTAGCCGCGCCATTTACCCTCTGACCTTAAATCATAATGCTGCTGGCAGCAATCTTTCAGAGATCCTTGAACCGCTTTCCCAAAAGTGCTGCAATGAAACTTGGGAGGCTACGGTGGGGTGCAGGGTGTCAGGGTGGGTCACACGCTTCTTGGTAGAAAGATAGATGGGACATCAGATATGAAAAAATGAGTAACACAGACCTAGAACCATAAACACGGACCATCTGGTGGTGAAGCAGATCCTGTGAAACACACCGGACTTGGGAGCATGCCCCCATCTCTCCCGTGTACTACTGTTTCGTACTACTGGCATGCTGAAGCCAGGCAAGTCGCTGGATTCAGCTAGCTCCCAGAGATCCCAGTGGGGGCTTCTCTAAAAACAGACAGCGAGTGTGTGACTTCTTTCGTCAACTGAGATTTAGATTACTGCCAGTTTATGTGCTTTTACAAAGCTGGCTCCACTCATACCTGGGAAGGGAGCCCAGATATAAATTACAGCACCATTAGCAGGTGCCACTCTAATTTATACCTCTCAGCCCTCCCGTTGCCAAGTCATGGAGCACTGCCACCGACCAGAGGGGAGAGAGGTCCAGCACAGGCTGGGTAAAGAGGAGCAGGAGGGTGACACCACAAGAAAAGGCAGGCCTTCAAAACGATAGAAAATTTGGGACAAGAGCTCAAGGCACCCAAAAGGAAAGGCAGAAGCCCTTGAGCAGAGCAACAGAGCTGGAATAAGGCCCCTTCTTAACCTCCTTGATCAGGATCAAACTTCTGTCAACACTATTCAGGGGGGGGGGACACCATCCGAAAGTGCGTCACTAGCATTCTTCTCGCCCACTCAGTCCAACAAGTCAAACTGCCCAGCGGGCGGAGGAGGCATCGTATGTCAGCAACGGCTGGTGCTGAGCTAGTCTTCTGCAGTTCCAGCGCCTCCCTCTGAAATGGAGTGACGACGGCCATTTCATTCTCAAGAGCTGAGAAGGCAGCAGGAGGCAGAACACTGCATCCACAAGCAGGGAATTCCCTCACCCTCATGGAAGAGCTTGGTTACACCAGGCCCTTCCTAGGATGGGAGGAACCTAGGCTGGCCCATGGAGAGCAGCTGCAGAAACCATGATGCAAGACGACCAGAGGGCCGGCTCCTGCAGTCTCAGGTGTGGCTGACCATCCAGGGAGGAATTCCAGCCACCAATTGAGGTCAGCAGGACTGTGCTATGAGAGAGATGGCAGCTGTTGTGAGTCAAGTTAAGCTATAAGTTGTCCCTCCAAGGTAATCTTCCAGAAGCCAAAGTATCACAACTTTCTCACCCTCCAGTTACAGTGGGGATAAAAACACCACTCACAGCATGTTTGGTGCATTTTGGATTGGTTCAACAAATACCATCACTTCCCTTTCTGGAAGCCCCACTTGCAGGACCCAGACCTTAAAGATACCTAGCATGTGCTCACCTAGAGAGAAAGCCCAGCTGGCAGGGGTCATGCCTTGGACAGGGTCTAGGTTCCTGTTTAAAAAAGAATGTGCCCCAATGCCTGCTAGAAAGCTTCCCTTTCAAACAGGAAGTTAGGCCAGTTCGAAAGGCATGAAGCGTACCAGCTAAGTCTTCCTTCCAGGTCAGGATCCTGCAGGTAGGACTTCCAGAAAGGACAATTATGGGATCTGTCGTCTATACAGTGGTGCCTCGCTTAACGGGCGCTCCGTTTAGCGATGAAATCACTTAGCAACGACTTTTTCAGAGCGTTTTTGCACTTTGTTTAGTGATGGTCCCTATGGGTGATTTTCGCCTAGCAATGGTTGGGACCATGCTTCGCACAGCGATTAAATTTTGGGTCCCCTGTTTCGCTTAATGATGGTTTAAACAGCCTCATGTTTGCTGTTTTTAAAATGTTTTTCTGTTATTTATAAAGTTAAAGTTTATTGTTTAAAATGTTTGAAATCAAAGGGCACTTAATAAACCCTTTGTTAACCAAATTTGACTTCACCACTATAAATCCAAAAGGCCCATCCCTAGAGGATGCTGTGACAAGGATTACAGTGGTGCCGCGCTTGACGACGATAATGCCTTCCATTAAAATCGCTGTTAAGCAAAGTCTTCATCAAGCTAAATTAAAAAACCCACTGAAATGCATTGAAAACCGTTCAATGCATTCCAATGGGCGAAATACCTCATCGTGCAGCGAAGATCCTCCATAGAGCAGCCATTTTCTGGTGCCTGTATAGTGAGGAATCCGTCCTTAACACAGCAGAGAGCCATTTTCCACAGCAGGCGACCATTTTGAAACCCGACGATCAGCTGTTTTTAGATTGTCGTAATGTGAAGAATCGGTTCCCGAAGCAGGGAACCGATCGTCGTGAAGCGAATTTTCCCTATAGGAACATTATTTTGCAATCACAATAGCGATCGCAAAAAAACCCATTGTAAAGCGGATTTGTCGTTTAACGGGGTAATCGTTAAGCGAGGCACTACTGTACAAGAAAATGTCAATACTCTGAATGCTTTGGAGAAAAAACTCTTACTGGAACCAACAGTTATGAACCTTGATCCAGTCAATCGAGGCACTACTGTACAAGAAAATGTCAGTACTCTGAATGCGTTGGAGAAAAAACTCTTACTGGAATCAACAGTTATGAACCTTGATCCAGTCAATCCACCTGGGTGCCCTTTCTGTTCATGTCAAATACAGCTTGTAGAATCAGGAGGTATTCTCACCTTTCAATTTCATTAGCACACCCATTTGCCAAATGGCAATTTTATTCTACAAACAGCTTAGCCTTCAAACTCAATCATTAATGCCACAGCTGATGCCAAACTCTAATTGCCAAAAGGAAAAGCCAACAACAGCTTTCTCAAAGTGCTACAAGTAGAGTGAGCCATGTAAATAGCTAGCAGATCACTGCTCTCTCTTTCTCAAATACACAAGCCAGAGGGAAGGTCCCAGGCTCAGCCAGCGGCCACTCAGAGAAAGAGAGGTGGCAGATCACAGACCAATTCTCCGTCTATGACAAGAATGCACCTCGTGGCTTCCCAGTCATTCTGAACCTCCTGAAGATGTTGTTTCACATTCCCACTCCATAAAAATCAGTCCAGTCTAAAAAGCTCCTCCTTGACCTGTTTAGCAGAACCTTGGAATGAAATGGGAGTTCCAAGCATCCCCTGGACCATCCCTTATACAGCTGTCTCCAAAGTCCAAATCATTCAGACTGACAGACAGTAGACTCTTCTAAAAGAAGCTGCCACCACAAGTTTCATTGGATATTGCCTTACACAGCTGGGCATGGCAAGCTTTTTCCTGGGCTTTGCTTGACTCTTTCATCATGGAAAGAGCAGGTCTGCATCATCTTCTCATTTTTGCAGGAAAGGCACTCACTTCTAATCTAAAATGCAACCTCTGCACCACCTCTGTTCAGCATAGTAGGCACAATCTTGGGAGTGGGGCAATAAACCCGTTTAATCACAATGAAAGACGAACTCTACCCAGGCTGGACGTGATCAAATACTACCCAGCCCTCCATCACAGTGTGGCAGTTCTCGTTCCTTCTCAGTCTATACCACACCTGTGTATTATTGTGGAACCCTAAGGGCTAGCCCACACTGCCCTTGCCCCCAACACAATGCAAGTCATTTGCCTTAAGGACCTCCTTCCCTTGGGTACATAAACGATTAGGTATTCAAGCCTCAGCTCAAACCAAGAAAATCCCTGTGTAATTCAAGACTTTAAAGTAGTAAACTAAAAATGAAGGAATGTCTTTTTTAAAAAAAGGGAATCTTATTGTCTACGGGAGAGACACTCATTTGACCAAGTCCACTCCACCACACTTCCTAAGGGCTCTGCATCTTTTCTGTACAGCACAATCTACACGCTGTAAAGTCATTTCC